CATCCTCCCTCTTCTCCTCCACCCCCTCCTCAGCAAGCCTCCGTCACTCCCCAGGGTTTGGGCAGGTCGGAAGTCCTCTGGCTTCTTTTCCTTCTGAGCCTTCTTTGCCTGTCTGATATCTGCTCTTTGGTTTTGGTGGTCCCGTCTGTCTGACTGCCATTAAAGTGCCCCCTTGCTGACCCCTGTCTCCAGCCTCGTCCTCTTTGCCTAGGACAGGGTCTGGCACATAGCAGTTACTTGAAAAATCCTTGTTAAAATGATGGATGGGTACCGTGCGGGTTTATTGTTTTGGACTCTCTCCTACATCCCTTGGTGGAAAAGCAGCTAGTTGTGGAGTTCTCAGGCCAGACACAGGTCACCTAATGTCTCTGTTGTCTATTTCCAGGTCTTTAAAGTAGGAATAATAACACGCCATGTGTGTTGGGAGGCCCCACAAGATAATGGAGGTGCAAGCTGAGGCAAGGGGTTATTAGCTCTCTTTTGTCTTTGACGAGGAACCTGGTTCACAGACAGGAGGCTTGGGGGTAGTGATAACCTAAGAACCTCGGGCAGTCTCCCCTTTACTCTCATTTGGGGGTTCCAGGATGATGATGTGATGATGGCTATTATTTGCTGAGAGATTATTCTCCAGCAGGCTCTAGGCTAAGCACATTTCTCACGTAAATGCACTTAATTCTCCTAACAACCCAAGAGATTAACTCTCCTCTAAAGTAGCCACCCTGGTGACTCGCCATTGCATTACCGTGTTCTAATTTTCCTACAGCACTTATCACCAACTAAAATTAACTCATTTACCTACTTGTTTATGGTCTGTCTTCTCCAATTAGACGGTGAGTTCCATGGGAGCAGAGCCTTATCTATCTAGAACAGTCCCTGACTGGCGGGCAGGAGACATTCAGGAGACCCATGTCACAGATGAGGAAGCAGGCTCAGAAGGCGAAGGGGCTTACTCTAGGACAGAGTTACCACACCACGGCAGTGCTTCCCACGGGGCCACCTGGTGTGTGCCACAGGATCTCAAGTTGGCGGTTGCCCAAGACCGAGCACACCCCCCGCCCATTCCTTTTCATCTTCTGAGAGCTCAGGAGTTCCATCTTGGACACAGACACCAATGGAGAATTTGTGTAGGCCTTAGGGAAGGTGACCTCATAAGAGAGGAGTCACCTAGTTTCCCTCTGTTCTAGCCCTGTCACTCTTGAATGATCCCTTCTTGGAAGCCTTTCCCCAGTCATCCTGTATCGACTCCTGGGATTTTTTTTCCCCTCTGTCTCACCCACTGGGTCCTCGACCCAATCTTTAAGAAAACAGAGAACAAAGCTGGGTGTGGTGGGGCACACCTGTAATCCCAGCTACTGGGAAGGCTGAGGCAGAAGGATCACAAGTTGGAGGCCAGCCTCAGCAAGTTAGTGAGACCCTGTCTTAAAAAAAAAAAAAAAAGATTGGGGATGTAGCTTAATGGTAAAGCCCCCCTGGGTTCAATCTGAGAGAGAGAGAGAGAGACAGAGAGAGAGAGAGAGAGAGCCCATGTATGTGCAAGAGAGACACAGAGAACCAAAACTTATTGGATTTCAGGATTCGACACACAATGCAATGCTAAGCTTATCCGTAGTCAAGACTTTCCGGAAGCTGAATGCTTGGTGCTAGGACATGAGATGGATGTAGGTGTGGGCCGGCCTCGGGGCCAGGACACTAGGATTTCAGCTTCTGGCCAGAAACTCTTCCAGTCATCGTCTCGTCTTCCTACTTAGTTCCTCCTGCCTGTGTGGGTGGAAAATTCCTTTCTGCCTTGCAGAAGAGAATTGGCTCAGTGTATTCCAGAGAGGGGAAATTTCCAGAATAGGAAAGGCATCTAGAAAGGAGACTAACAGAGAGGTTCTGAGCTGCATCTTGGAGCCCAGCAAGACCCCGTTTAGGTGATATTGCCTGAGGTGACTCAATTTCCCCTTCTGTAGAAGGCGATGATACCTTCTGTTTTCAGAGCTACTGCTTGTGGGAGCTGAGAGGTCACATAGATGCAGTGATCCCGTGTCTGCCTACAGGAAATGCTGAAGATGTAGCCTTTATCAAGGAATCAGACTTTGGGATCCCCAGAGGGTGTGTTGGAGACCCTTGTAGGCCAGGAAAGTCTCCCAGGTGATCAGAAAATACTATCAGTTCCTTTGTTTTAGGTATGATTTTATTATTGTTTCCTAAAATTTCTTTTTCAGAAAGTGTAGGAAAGTCAAACACAGTAGTATACACCTGTGCTCCCAGCTCCCAGGAGGCTGAGGCAGGAGGATTGCAAGTTCCAGGCCAGTCTGGGCAACTTAGCAAGATCTCATCTCAAAATAAAATTTAAAAAAGAATTTGGGGTTGGATGGGTTGAGGTTGTGGCTCAGCAGTAGAGTGCTCGCCTAGCACATGCAAGGCCCTGGGTTCAATCCTTAGCACCACATAAAAATAATTTTTAAAAAAGGTATTGTGTCCAACTACAACTTAAAAATAAATATTAAAAAGAAAAAGGAGCTAGGGGTGTGTAGCTCAGTGGTAGAGTGCTTGCCTAGCATGCATGAGGCCCTCAGTTGGATCTCCAGTACCCCAATATATAGATATACACTTACACACATAAAAACGGATACTCCACCCTCTTATCCCAGGCCCAGTTCTGCCACTGTTTCGTGTGACCAAGCTGACCTGGAGTACCGCAATAGCGTGCACATATTAAGTGCCTATTATGTGCCAGGCACAGTTCTAAGCTAGTGCCCTTGATCCTCATAATCCTACACAGTGGGTACTTTATAGACTTACTTACAAATGAGAAGTGGGGCTAAGCACTGGTTGGCCTGTTGGGGAGGAGCGCTCCGGGCCACCCAGCCTTCCTCCATTTCTCCCAGGCCTGCCTGCCGAGTTTGGGAGTTCCCTTAGCCTGGGGCTGGGCAGAGCGGGGGCAGCCACCCTGGGCTCAGTGGGTAAGTTCCTCTAACCCCAGGCCCAGGAGGCAGCTAGGAGCCTTTTCTCACTTCTCTGTCTGCAGCTCCTTGATTTATAGCAGCAGAAACTTGGGGTGTGCCTCCCTCTCCGCACCCCTAGAGCAGGAAGGTTTCTGTCATTTCTCTTTCTTGTGTGACAGCTCCTTCTGCCCCCCTCACAGAGCCCTATACCTGGGGCCCCGTGAAGTGGAATGGAAGACACCGCCTTAGATGAAGTCCGCAGAAGAGTTGACTTCTACCCCCCCAGCCCCCCACCCCCGCCTGCCGAGATCTAGTCTGGGCTGTTGCTTCCACCAAGGTGGAGAATGTGGGCCCGAGTCACTGGGTGACAGGTGGCTCTTGCCCACCCACTAATCTGCCACAGTGCCTGAAATTTTATTACTAACGCATTTTTTCTGCTCTGGTAAAGACTGCCCTCTCGCACTGTGGCGGAGCCGTGTGGCTGAGTGGAGAGCGTGTGACTTTGGTGCCGGACAAGCCTGAGTTTAAGTCCTGGTGTGTCACTGAAGGCTGGACGATCTTGGGCATTTTCTCATCCTTGGTCTCAGGTGTCAGTGGGCTGAAGTGAAATCCTGACCTTGTAGCGTCTGGGAATGTGCAGATCTAGTGAAAGTCATTATGGTCAATGGCAGCTGACGGGTTCCTGTGGCCCTAACGTGGGCGAGCCCACCAGGCCCATATAAAGGGAGGCTTTGGGGCTGCAGAAGAGCTTCATCTCTGGGGCTCTCTCCAGCCCCAGCCTGGAAAGCCCGTCCTCTCACCTGCAGCCTCCTCCACATACTCTGCTCCAAGAGGCTCTCGGCCAGGTTTGCTCGTGACTGAGAGCATATGTCCTGAGCCATTCTCAGAGTGTGGTCCCCAGGCTTCTAGCAGTAGCAGCACCAGGGAAGTTGTCAGAAATGTAAATTCTCCATCACCCCCCTGCCCCAGAGGGACTCAGAAACTCCAGAGGTTGGCCCAGCGATACGAGTCCTTCTCCTACAGCTCAAGTCTGAGAACACCGTCCTGTCCTACAGCACCCTTCCGTCAGAGCCTGAATCCCCTCTGGGCCACTCTCTGACCGGGACCCTGCACCGTGCCCTTTTGACTTTTCTGAGTTTCAGTTTCCTCTACCAAAAACAGAAGTGATACCAGAAGCCGCCTCGGCAGGTGGTCATGAGAACGGGGCTAGATGATGATTCTCGAGAGGAGTCCAGCTCAGTTCTAAACCATGGCCGATGCCCGATGCAGACGAGGGGCTATTTTATCATCGTCATTCTACATTGTGTCCCCACCGTCCTACAACTGCTCCCATCTGCCACTGAGCGAAGCCATCTCCAGGGCCGAGCGTCCCCAGCTAAATGTCTGCCTCCTCCTGTAGCTTTTCGGGGCCCCTTTCCTTCGAGCCCGTGGGGCTTGTCTCTTGGGGACCGTGCCTTGTATTTGTGGAAGCTTCTCGGCACAGTGCCCAGGTTCTGCCTGCCTCTGTGTGCCCTAAACGTTCAGCTCCACGTCCTGGCATCTGAGCAGCTGCCTGGGGACCCTACAATAAAGGGTGGTCCACAGTGCCACTTCCCAAGACCACTGCTGCCTAAGGGCTTCTGTCATTGGCCGTGGTCCCCTGACACAGTGATCCGCAGCCTCTGTGTCTTTCATGGCCTTGAGGGCAGCAGCCTCAGAAGAACGCATGCTGGGCTGTCCGGCCATTTTCATCTTTGCAGCATGTCATTGTCACTTCCCATCTGGTTGCATCGATCGCCTCTGAACTTCTCCTGACGCGTGTCCCGTTGAATCCCCCCTAGTCTCGAAAGGTTGGCTCTGTGGCCCTCACTGCAGAGAAGGGAACGGAGGCCCCCGTCCACAGCCTCTACGGGGCAGCATTGGTGCCCATCCAGCCCCAGAGCTCGTGTCCATCCCGCTGCCCCGAGCTGCCCAATGTGGCACAGCAGTTCCAAGTTTCCGAGGCTGGTGGCTCTCTGAGTTCCTGGGCGTTGGCTCGAGGCTGCGCACGCAGGGACCTTCCTAAGTTTGACCCTCCTCGTGCGCCTCCAGCTTCAGGTCTGTGCGGCTGCTGAAGAACGACCCAGTCAACTTTCAGAAGCTCCCCTACACCAGCGAGGATGAGGCCTGGAGGACGTACCTGGAAAACCCCTTGACAGCCGCCACGAAGGCCATGATGAGAGTCAACGGTGACGACGACAGCGTGGCAGCCCTGAGCTTCCTCTACGACTACTACATGGTACGTCGCCCCCTTCCCACTGAATGGGGGTCTGCTTTCAGGCTGTGGCAGCCACCAGCAGCCGGCCCAGCCCCTCACCCCAGGGCCTTGGTACACGCTGTTTCCGCCTCCTGGCCCCTGCCCCTTCCTCCTGGCTAAACTCCATTTGCTGCTTGGATCTTAGCTTAAATGTCACCTCCTTCTTTCATGGGGTGAGGGGTGCTTTCTTGGGTCCCCCATTCTGTACCTCCTCTGGGGCCCTCATACCCACGGGCATCCTCCCCGCCTAGCCTTAGAAACTTGCCGCCTGCTCATTCACTCCTCCATTTCCTCCATGAGACTGAGCTCCTGGAGGGAAGGAAAACGTCGTGTCATCACTGAGTCCCCAGCACCCCGCACAGCCATCCAGGGCACGCCAGGTGTGGGTTGACAGATGAACGCCTCGCCAGGCCCACTGCAGCCCGGCCACCCTCTGTCCTGTCCCTGGGATCGCCCCAGCCTCCCATCACCCCACCCTCCTGTTGCAGCCCCGGCACCTGGAACACTCCTCCTGTCTAACTTAGCCCGCCCCCCCCTTCCTTGCTTCCTTCCTTCCTTCTGAGCCTCGCCAAGGCCAGCCTTCTCCTGGATGCCACTCTGCCACATCCGCTCCCTCTCCCGAGCATCTTGCTCTCCTTCCTACCTCGCTGCCACACTGTCTTCTGTTGTTCTCTAATTATTTCCAGGGCCCTGACCTTGACTTTGAGACTGTTGGTTCCTGAGAACAGGAATTCGTCCCTCCCGTCTCTGATAAACAGGGCTCCATCCAGTTAGCAATCACAAACATGGAACACAGGTGACACCCCCGCTACCTGTGCCAGGCATTGCCACTGGGACCCAGGCTGCATCCTCACTGAGGGAACACAGGCTGCGGCAGCTCTGGCGGCTCAGTACTCCAGTAGCCCTGCCAGAACTGACCCAGAACAGCACACTTATCTGCTGTCCCTGGGCTGGGGGACTGCACCAAGACACTTGCCTAGATTTGGGGATCAGGGACAAGAATAGCCAGTTGTTGAGATAACTGATTCGAAACTGAACTTGGAAGATGTAGAGCCGCCTTGCACATTAGCCCTGAAACTTACTGTCCACTTCACCACAAGAAGGAAGACACATTCTCTTCATGAATTCAGAGGCCACAGGAGGGCAGGGGCATGTGGGTCCAGGTAGAAGGCCACCCTCTTTTCTGACTTGGATTCTCATCCTGGAGTGATCTGGTCACCTCACTCTGCTGCTTTCCCAGAAGACTACCGTGTCCAGCCCGGGCTAGCAGGAGAGGAACGGAAATGGCTACCTCAGTGTGGGGGCCGTGGCAGGAGCCAGAATTCTTAGTCTGATTCAAACCGCAACCTGGAATTTATAGGTTAAGTCTGGACCCTAAGACAAATAAAATCCAGCACCATCTCTCTGGGGCAAGAGGCCATTCCTAGGGCCAGAACGGTGGGGCCAGGCTTTGAAGGTGACGTCTACATGGTTTTTGTGTAGTATACAGTGTCTTGGCGAGATCCACCTGGGTCTGGAGCAGTCCTGTGGATAGTGAGGACATGGTCTTGCCATATGGCCAGTACCAGCTTGGAGTTCAAAACCTCGTCATGCCCCAAGCTGGCCGTGTAGCTTGGGCAACACAGTGGTAAAGGGGACCACTTCCTGCTTCTTACTGCAAGCCAGGACCTTCTTGCATACTGTCCCATGGGGCGTGATTAAGAGCCCAGGCTTTGGAGTCACTAGCCTGGCTTGGAGTCTTGGCTTTATCAGCCTTGGGGACAATGAGTTAGAATGTTCTAAGGTGTGATAATACTATAATCATGGAAGGCCACATTTGTGCGGTCAGGCTGTGTCTGCACTAGGTGCTGTTCTGAGCACTCGCGGCCATCCCTGAAGTTATTTTTGTCACCTGTGTTTTATAGATGAGGATGTGGGGTGCAGAGGTTAAGTGCCTTGCCCAGGCCACACAGCTAGTATGCGTGTAGGAATTGAACCAGGAACTCTGGATTCAGAGTCCGTGCTCCTCAGCACCAAGATAATGGAGTCTCTCTTGCCCTCACCTCATCCACGCAGTGGTGATGACAGTCGATATCTCCCAGTGGGGTGAGGGTTAAATCAGAGAATAGAAGCATTTGGTACAAGGTCTAGTGCACAAGGAGTTCTCTGCTTTAAAAGCCAGTATTATTTTATGAATAAATCTTCATAATTCCTTGAAGTTGGTTTTATAATCCTACACTTGACATATGAAGCAACCATCTCAGAGAGGTGCAGTCTTTTATATAAACTTACACAGAACTTTAAGCAGTAAAGGGAGGAAGCCAGGTCTGCCTGACTCCAAGTTCAAAGCTCTTTAACTTGTAAGCCTGAGCTGCTTCTCTCTGCTCCCTGAGTTGGGGACCAGACTAAATGGTGGCTAGAGTTACGGCCAACCTGAAAGACCCATGAGTCTTCTCCCAGAGTTCCAGGCCAAAGCCACAGAAGCAGGTTGAGGCTCTTAACAGCTAGATCTTAGCCAAGAATCATTCATAAATCCTGCCTTTCTGCCCCCAGGGCCCCAAGGAGAAGCGGATACTGTCTTCCAGCACCGCGGGCCGAAATGACCAAGGAAAGAGGTGAGGCCATCTCTGCCCTCCCCAGCCCTCCCCCACCTCAGACCCCTCTAACATGGACAGACTTGCCTGTTAGACACAGGGACACAGGGACAGCGCCCACAGTGCCTTTAGGGGCTCATGAAAGTGCTTTAATTTCTTTGACAATCAGAAGAAAAAAATTAATATACTCCAACCCACAGCATTAAACCTGCCTGTCTTCTTCCTCTTCTCATTTTTTTGTTTTTCTTTTTGCAGTGCTAGAGGTTGAACCAGGGCCCTGAGCGAGCCAAGCAGGCCCTCTGTTCCCACTAAGCCGAACCCTAACCCTTGAAGCCGTCTTTATGGCAGTGTGATGTATAAGATCTTCCAAAATACTTCTGAAGGGGCTGGTGAAGGCGGAAGAGGCAGGGGGCTGCCCTGGGCTTTCCTGGACGTGCTCGCTCATACACACACACACACACACACACACACACACACCCCTGCCTGCAGGCCACTGAGCTGGTGTTTACTGAAAACAAACTTCAAAGCCCCAGCGGGGAAGCCCTGGAGGCAGCTTTTCTGTCCCTGCTTCAAACCCTCCGCCCCACAGCCTTTTTGGGGGAGGGGAGCTGCTCTGTCCTTAGTGAGGGGACAGTTGTGTTCCTTACTTCTTCCCTCTGGTTCTTTGGGCTTCTGCCTGGCATTCGTGCCTCGGGCCACCAGTGTTCCCTTCCTTGTAGACAGCAGCCATGGCCAGAGGGTTGCTGGGGGGACCTTGCCCCTCTCTCTCCACTTTCTCCTTTCCGGCCAATTGGGTGACTTCTCAAAAATGATCGAGCAAGGCCTGTGCCGGGAAGCCTCGTGGGCCTTCGTGCCTTCCAGAAAACCCCCGCAGCGGGCACCTCCTGGCACGCAGCAGCGTGTGGGCGGGGCCTGCTCAGCCTCCCTGCGCAGCCGCAGCCCGCCGGCCTGGGTTTGCTTTGGGGGCCTTTCTCAACACTGATTCCAGGGCTGGGTCATGGCTCAGTGGGGGGCGCTTGCCTGGCACGTGTGAGGCCTTGGGTTCCATCAGCACCACATAAAAATAAATAAGTAAAATAAAGGTATTATGTCCTCTACAACTGGAATAAAAAAAAAACTGACTATAAGTAAACAGTAAAAATGTCCTGTGATCCTGCACCTCTGTCCACCTTAACAATTCAGGGTACATCCTTCCAGACCTTTCTCTAAACATCTATTTACCACACCCACAGATCCACAGCCCCCTCCCATACACAGCTCACGGGATGACTTCATACTGTTGTTTTGAAGTGGGGACATTTTTGACACAGGATATTTGACTCTGGCTAAGAAATAAATGATAAACTTGCATTTTTTAAATTAACAAGTCCTGTAAGTGGATAAGACATGTTCTCCCCCTCGACCCTGAACATGTGTATGGTTCCACTCTGGGCACCTTCTTCTCATCCCTGGTGAGATCCGTCTGCTGCGGCAGCCTGCTTCTTGCAAGGCCGAAACAGTCCCCGGGTGCGTAGGCGCAGTGGCACACACCTGTAGTGCCAGCGGCTCAGGAGGCTGAGGTAGGATCACAAGTTCAAGGCCAGCCTCAGCAACTGAGCAAGACTCTCAAAATAAAAAAAATTAAAAAGGCTGGGGACATAGCTCCGTGCCCCCAGGATTGATCCCCAGCACCAAAAGAAAATTTGGATGGAAGAAAGTCAATGTGTCAGTGTGTCACCTCCAGTCTAACCAAGGGCCCCTCCTGCCCCAGAGAACATAGCACTCACTTTGCCCTCCCCCCAGGTTCTACCACAGCATGGAATATGAGACGGACCTCACTCCCCTCGAAAGCCCCACGCACCTCATGAAATTCCTATCAGAGAACGCGCCTGGAACCCCAGAGTACCCAGATCTGCTCAAGAAGAACAGCCTGATGAGCTTGGAGGCAGCTGTGCCCAACCCTGGCAAGGCAGCTCCCCTCCCCGCCGGCCCCAGCAAGCTGGAAGTGGGCTCTGAGGACAGCTACCTTTTGCCCCCCAGTGATATGTACGATACCGGCTCCCTCAACTCCTTGTTTGAGAGCATTCATGGGGTGCCACCCACACAGCGCTGGCAGCCAGACAGCACCTTCAAAGATGACCCTCAGGAGGTGAGAGCCCTCCTGGGCCCCTACGGTACACCGCATATGTGCACTCATGTACAGAAGGAGATGAGAGAGTGGAAAGGTCAGAGGTTTGGAATCCAAGGAAGAAGTCCCAGAGCTGAGGCAGGGTTGCCCGGTACTGTTTTCCAAGTTGCCCACTGCACAGTCTGTACAGCTGTATGCGCGACCCTGGGCTGAGGCTCCGGAAACCTGCACATGGTCACTTACTATATCGGGATTATGTCTCTCTGCAGTCGCTGCTCTTCCCAGATATCCTGAAAGGATCCCCGGAACCCCCGTGTGCAGAGGACTATCCTAGCCTCAAGAGGTAATGTGGCCCCTCTGGATCCTTGACCAGGGGGACAGGGGCTGCAGACAGCTTTACATGGTCCCCAGCACATAATCAGTGAATGGGAAAGGGGGGCAGTGCAGTAAAAGGAAAGAGAATGATCTCCTCGTCCTGTCCTGAGCCTGGTGCTCGGCTGCGCAGGCTCTGGTCTCCCTGCACTTGCACCTCTCCAGCTTCTCTCAACTAGCCCTTTACATAGAACCCAAAATGCAGAGACTGAGGCCCAGGGAAGTAAAGTGACTTGGAAGGTCACAGGGAGAGTCCATGAGAGCCTCAGCTTGCTGCCAGGGAGACCCCTGCTGGCCTGGCCTCACTGTCCCCTCCTCCCCTTGCAGTGACTTTGAGTACACCCTGGGCTCCCCCAAAGCCATCCACATCAAGTCCGGCGAGTCGCCCATGGCCTACCTCAACAAGGGCCAGTTCTACCCTGTCACCCTGCGGACCCCAGCAGGTGGCACAGGCCTGGCCCTGTCGTCCAACAAAGTCAAGGTGCGTTGGCTTGAAGCAGCCAGGGAGGGGGCGGCATGGGGCCAGCCGGGGCCCGGGGAGAGGAGGGTTGATCCTGGGAAGGGACCAGGCGCCCCGGGCTGCGGTGACACTGCTGCCATGCCCCCAGAGCGTGGTGATGGTCGTCTTCGACAATGAGAAGGTGCCCGTGGAGCAGCTGCGGTTCTGGAAGCACTGGCACTCCCGGCAGCCCACCGCCAAGCAGCGTGTCATCGACGTGGGTGAGTGCCCGCCGCCCTGGGCCAGCCTCCCCCCAGGCCTCCTCCTGCTGTGCCCCCCCAGCCCCTGTGACCCGTCTCCAGGCAGACCAGGTGAGGGCATGGGAACCTGCATCTGCTGACATGAAGCCGTGGCCTCTTTTCCAGGGTGCTTTGGGATAAACAGGGTCTGGGGACTCCGCAGGGTCCCAGAGATAGGCCCTGAGATGCTGGCCTGTTTGTCCCCTACGGTGTGTCTAGGTGACATAGCGCACACCATGCAGGGCTGGCAGTGGTGGTAGACAGCTGAGGCACAGTACTGGTGGTTCTTGTTTGGGGTGAGATCCTCAGACTCTGTCAGCAGGTGACAGCCACCCTGTGTGTGCCACCATGCCCCCACCTGCCCCGAAATAGGGGGAGGCATAGCTCCCCTTCCTGCCTGCAGGTCTGTCTCCACCCGCCCTCCCCCCAGCCTCGGCCAGCTCCCCTGCATGCCTGTGGTGCTGATCTCTGCCTGGTACTGTGTAGCCTGCAGAACTCGATACAAATGGGGCACAGTTCAGCGACTTATCCAAGAGGCTGGGTGGCAGGGGAATTGGGAGCATGGGTCACAGAGCCAGACAGATCTGAGCTTTGCCTTTTATTAGCTGTGTGACCTTCGCCAAGTAGCCAAACCACTCTGAGCTCCATTTTCCTCATGTATAAACTGAATATGCCCAGTGGAGTTGTGAGGATTACCCGAGGGCCTGCCAAGTCTAGGTGTTCAAGAAATGGTTGTTGCCAGTATTTCTACGGTCACGACCGCTGTTACTACCGTTGTTACTGCTATCACTACCATATCACCTGTCACTTCTCCTGGGATACCTCCTACTTACTCACCCCCATGGAAAGGACAACCTCCACCAGGCGACAGGGGCTATGGGGTTCCCTCTGGGCTCTGGCAGATCTGTCCCCCAGGCTAGACTTGCCCTCCAGTCTGTAACCCGGGCCCAGTGTTCCTCCTTCCTCCCGGACTGAGGCCCGGCTCCTGCTCGCCCCTGCCTTGTGCCCCACGTCCCTTCCCTCCTGACGCTCCTCCCGGCTCCTGTGGTTTCAGCTGACTGCAAAGAGAACTTCAACACTGTGCAGCACATCGAGGAGGTGGCCTACAACGCCCTGTCCTTCATGTGGAATGTCACCGAGGAGGCCAAGGTCAGTGGGGGTAGGGTGGGGGTGGCCAGGGCTGCCTAGAGTTCCCCTCCTGGGGGAGAAGCTTGCCTGCACCTCGGACTGGGGCATGTGCTCTGAGGCGGCTCCCGCGTTGAGGCAGGATCCAGAGTGCCCAGGAGCTGGGACCCCAGGCCGCAGGCGGGGTCTGCCCAGTCCTGCCTCCTGCCAGCCGGGCAACTTTGCCTCTCCAGGCCTCGGCAGGTCTTAGTGAGGGCCGGGCGAGGCAGGTGAGGGGTGGAACCCAGATGGGAAGCCTGAGCTTGTGCGAGGTCACACAGCGAGCCAGCTTGCAGGGACACGCTTGGAAGTCTGGGAGCTGAGGGCTCAACTCCCGGTTGGCTCTCTGCTCTCAGTTGGGAAGGTGGGAAGGATGATCCTCTGCCCAGGAGAGGTGAGGGTCTCCCCAGCCGCAGAGGTCCCGCCAGCCTCGGTGTGGAGTCCAGCTGCCAGCCTCCGTGTGCTTGTGGGCCTGTCTGCGTTGCTTCTGCCCGGGGAGCTGCGAGGAGGCAGGGGCACTACTCTGGTCAACCTCTTGCTGGAGTAGGCTGGCCTTGCCCACCAGGGCTGGGTCATCTCAAAGGTTTCTGGCCCTGGTGGGCTGGGAGCTAAGCAGGGACAGACAGAGGTGAAGGAGCTCCAAGGCACAGAGGGAGGCCCGAGGCAGGGATTATTATTATTCAAACAGCCAGGGGCTGGAGGAGGAGCTGGGGCCTCCAGTTCAGGAGGGGGGAAAGTTTCGTGGGAAGGGAGCGGTGGGTTTCGGTGGGGACTTTCTCACAGCCTCTAGGGCCCCAGGCTTGGGTCTTTCTCAGGTGCGAGCCGGAGCTGGGTGGGGGCCGCATTAGGCCTGAGCTGGCTGAGGGGGAGGTATGTCCGGCATGTGCCTGAGGGCCCGGCCCCCACAGAGGGACAAAGGAGGTCTGCTTCAGCACCCCACCTAAACCCCGACTCAGGTCAGGGGCATTTCCAAGGACAGTGTCCCAAAGAACAGGGACCAGCCTGGGATGGGGTGTGGCCTTGAGCTCCTGGAAAGGTTAGACAGTCACCAGCCTCAGTCAGCCGGGGCTCACCCCGCTGAGACCACCCCAGGCTGCCCTCAACAGGGCATAGCCTTAGCCACACAAGAAAGGTTTAACGTGGACACTGAGGCTCAGGGAGGTCACAGGATCTGTCAAAGCCCCAAGGCTCATGAGTGGCAGGTCCAGCTTCCCACCACAGATCTGGTGGCTCATTTTTCCTGATTCCCTGGGGGAGTGTAGGGAGCTTCTGTCCCTCAGACTCCACGGCTATAAGGTGCAGGTGACAGGGGCCCAGGTTAGTGGGTGGGGTATGCGTAGAGGGAACCTTTTGCTGGAGGGTCCAGCAATGGCTGGAGCTGCCCGTTAGGTGAGGGGGCTGTGTCTCACCCACTGTGTCCCTGGGCCTGCAGAAAAGTGGTGTCCTGTCTCTAAGTTGCAGAAAGATGCGGTTCTTAGATTTCAGTCTCTAAAGGACCGTTGATGTGGGCTGTCCTTGTCGGGCTAGTGGGAGCACCCGCCCAGTGGCGAGGGGCCTGGGCCTTGAATCTGTCTGCAGACCCCACCTCACCACCTGAGGTCTGTGTTGCTTTGGGAAAGTTGCGCTGCCTATCTGAGCATCAGTTTCCCATCCCTGGCACACAGAAGCCCCAACCGACAGGGCCGGAGACCTGTGCAGGCCACTGACCCGGCTCCCCATTCTGTCCCCAGATTTTCATTGGCGTCAACTGCCTGAGCACAGACTTTTCCTCGCAGAAGGGGGTGAAGGGTGTCCCCTTGAATTTGCAAATTGACACCTATGACTGTGGCTCGGGCACTGAGCGCCTGGTGCACCGCGCAGTCTGCCAGATCAAGATCTTCTGCGACAAGGTGGGTGGTGGGCCACCCTCGCTGGGTCCTGGGAGGGACAAGGCCCCACCAGGCAGCCCCCTGGCTTCTCTAGGTGTGTCTGTTGCCCTGTCTCCTCCCTGATGTCCTCTGATGTCCTGCCGGTGTCTGTTCCCATGCGTCCTCCTGTCTCTGCAGCAGTGTCCCCTCTCACTGCGGCCTCTGTAAACCTTACTCCATGTCTTCGTTCCTCTGTGTCTTTCTCGTGTTTCTCATCTCCGACTCTCTCCATTCCTGGGTCCTCTCTCCTCCCCTCCCCCACGCTGTTTAAAGCCCTCTCTCCCTCCCTCTGCCGGGGCTCTCTCAGTGTCCTCCTTCCCGCCCTTTCCCCCTCTCACTGCCTGTGCTGACCCCGGGCAGGCAGGACCAGGCTGGGCCAGATGCTGGTACCTTCTCATTTTCTGGTGTCACTGTGGGGACCAAAAGCTGGGCCTCTATTTAAGATGCAAAATGTGAAGCAGCAGCTGTGACAGGGCCAGCCCCTCCAAGGCCCTTGGTGACCCCCTTTCCCCCACCCCAGGGAGCTGAGAGGAAGATGCGGGATGATGAGCGGAAGCAGTTCCGCAGGAAGGTCAAGTGTCCGGACTCCAGCAGTGGTCAGTGGGGATGAACCAGGGGCTGGCTGGGCTGTGCGGGGTGAAGAGGAGAAGGAGGCCAGAGGGGGACCTTCGTGGAGGGACCTCAGGCCCACGGCTTCCTTTCCCATCAGGCATCAAGGGCTGCCTGCTGTCGGGCTTCAGGGGCAACGAGACCACCTACCTGCGGCCTGAGGCCGACCTGGAGACCCCACCGGTGCTGTTCATCCCCAACGTCCACTTCTCCAGCCTGCAGCGCTCTGCAGGGGTGAGGGCAGGGTCCTGGTTGGGAAGGGGGTGCCAAGAGGAGCCTGGTCCCTTGTTGGGGCCTGCCTTAGCCAGGCCAGTAGACAGCAGCCAGCCACTCACCAGTACTGGCCAATCTAGATGTTTCTAGGTCCTGATATTAAATAATCAGTCTTCATTTATTGAGTCCTAGGGGATTAAAAACAAAATGACACGTGTCCCTGTCAGTGACCTGTTCCATCCGAGAGTAGAATGTTGGTGAGGAAATGGACTTTGGTGTTCATCAGAACGTTCATGCCTGGGACTCCGGGGAGGTCTCTGATATCTAAGCCCTAGGTCCCAGTACGGCCACACTGAAGCTGGCTGCGTGGTGACAGTGCAGCATCCCTCTGTATGCAGCAGGCTCTGTGTTACGTGCACACATTACCCACCTGCCTTTACTGCAGCCCTGTCGAGTCCATGCCCTGACCTAGGAGCTGTGGACCCCAAATGGAGGCATAGGGAAGTTGAGAAACCTCCCCAAATCACACAGCTAGAAAGTGGCAGAAGCCTGATTCCGGGATCCGTGCCCTGTCAAGCCAGGGGAGCCACCTCTGAGCACCTGGAGGGAGCACGTTATCCGGCTCCCGACCCAGCTGTCCTTGAGGGAAACTGTTCACCCCCTTTCTCAGACAGGGCACAGAATGAGTCAGTAGTGGAATCAAGGCCCTCCAGCCTGTCCCCAGGTCTGGTTCGCAACAAGCACTCCGACAGCTTCCCTTCGTGGAGGGCATGGCGCCCCAGTTTCTGTGGGAGTGTCTGCAGAAACGGCCGTGGTGGCCAAGGTGGGTTTGGTGTGTTGACTTAGGACAAGGAGGAAGACCTTGGAGCTGAAAAGAGCTGCCAGCACCGATGTGGCCCTGGCACACTGAGAGCTGTTCTGCACCCCTGTCCTCCCTGCTCTGCCCTGGTAGCAGCACCGAGGCCTCCATGGCCCAGGTGGCTGCCTCGACTGTTCTCTCTCAATTCCTCTGGCCAACCAGCCCCACGCAGGGAGATGACCACTAGGGATTAATGTCGACAGCTAATCCATGGGGAAGAGGGAGGGACCTGCCCCTGCACACATGAGCCTGGGTGGCCCAGGGAAACACCAAGCAGAGACCCTGAGCCGCCCGAGCCTGCCCCGTGCTGGCTGTACAACCCCAGGGGCTCTGCCCTCTGGAGCCTGGGGTCTCACAGGACTTCAAAGGGTGATGGCCACCGGACAGCACAATAGGAGTAGCAGTGCCACAGTGGCACACACAGGGTGCCTCTTCCCCCCACCGTGCCCCAGCTTCCCCTGCCCAGTTCCCAGCCGGGGCTCCCAGCCCCTGGGCGCGCTGTCTGGGGTGGGTGCATTGATCGGCCTACCATTGCTTTCCCACCACCCTGTGTCTGTAGGTCCCCGACTCAGCAGCTTGGGCTAGGTGACTCCTTCAGATGGGGATTCAGCCCCCTTAGGGGACCCATGTGAACAGAGCCCTGGAAACTCGTTGAAACACCACCCTCCCCACAGACAGTTTTCCTGCTGAAAAGCCTCAAGGACTGAGGCTCCTCTCATTTTCCTGCTTGTGATCGAAATGTCTCTTTCTCCTCATTGCAGGCGGTCACCTCAGCAGGACACGGCAGCTCCAACAGGTATGGAAGAAGCAGCCAGGGCTCCCTGTCCCCTCACACTGCCCCGGCCAGGGCCTGGGGCCAGAAGAAGGGACTGTAAAACTCGGTCCCAGCCCCCAAGCTCGACGCACTCTCCCTTCTCACTGAAACCGCCTGGTTTTTATAGGTTTGTTTTATATGAAAAGTTGGCGAATCTCTGGCGAAGACACCTGCTTGTAAAAGGGAAAGAAAAGGCTGGGGGTGGGGGTACAGATTCAGAAAGCACGGAGGGCTTGTGCGGGAGGACATGGCCCTGTCCCTGTCCCACCCTCTCCCTCAGCACACCCCAGAGGCCACAGCACACTGTCTTTCCCTGTCAGCCACAGTGTTTGTGCCTTCATGCAAACCTGAGCCTCCCTAAGTCCTAGCCCACAGATCGTCAAAGGAGGGGGACAGCCGTGGGGGAGGCAGGCAGGGAGGGCACAGAACCTTCTGAAACAGCCAAGTGCTTCATGCAGATCACATGTTATCACCAGGCCCCTCCCCGCACCCACACCCACTGTCCACACGCTGCTTTCGCCCAGTCCCCGCCCTCAAGCATTCCCACTAGGGCTATTGCTGTCCTGTGCAGACAGTGGAACCGAGGCCAGGAGGGGAGGGGCGAGCTGGTGGTCCCTCGACGTCCAGTAGCAGAGGCAGGACGGGAACCCCGTCTGTCCTGCTCCGAAACCCACAGTCCTCCTCCTCCCACAGCCTCAGCCCAGCCTGATTCTTTCCAAGGGACCAAGGCTGATGACGGCCATCGTCCCCTCTGACTGCGGCCTGCACAGCACATGGGGGGAGAGCAGTGTGCACTGTCTCTGTGGGCAGCTTCCTGCAGGGCTGTTACTTTTTTTTTTTTAATGTTTTTTTAATTGTAGTTGGACACGATACCTTTATTTTATTTAGTTATTTTTATGTGTTGCTGAGGGTCCGACCCAGCACCTCACACATGCTGGGCGAGCCCTCTACTGCTGAGCCACAACCCAGCCCCTGTTATTTGTACTTTCTCGTCACCTCGCGTTATAGATGGGGTCACCCTGAGCTAAGGAACTCGCCCCAGGGCCCAGAGCCCCTGTGAGGGAGCTAGACTGGAACCCAAGCTGCGCAGCTCCACACCTGCTTTGCACCCCACGTTAGGGACCCTGGAGCCCAGCAGGTGCTCACCACCCTCCCATCCCCACAGGCTGCCCCTGAAGCGCACCTGCTCGCCCTTTGCCGAGGAGTTTGAGCCTCTCCCCTCCAAGCAAGCCAAGGAAGATGACCTTCAGAGAGGTAGCCCGCCGCCCTCTGTGTCCCAGCGCCCACCAGGCCCCACCCACAAGGCCTCCTGAGGAGGGCAGGGGTCTCTACACCTTGGAGCTGGACTTGGGCCAAGGGTTGTGGGGGTAGGGGGTCCCTAGGTGTTGGAGAGATGGCCAGGGCTGCAGGGCATCTGCCCGCTGTCCCCCTGGGTGTCTAGGGCCCCTGCTCTTTTTTCATGCTGGAGGGTTCCCACACTTTCTCCAAGGGGTGGGGGCTGGGTGGTTTCCGTTTCTGCTTTTCTAGCTTTGCCACTCTAAATCTGGCACACCTGTGTGTGGTGGGAGGTGAGGCTGGCCCAGGCCTCTGGGGGCTATGGCTGACCACCAGGAAGAAACTCCCAGCAGCTGAGACCCATGGATTCCCATACCCTTGACCTGAGCTGAGCAATGCACTTAGTGCTTCTAAACGTCGTCAGTCATTCCCACAGCTCTGAAGTTGGGGAAGGGCCCCCATTTTGCCGACCAATAAAGTAAGGCTCAGTGATGTTAAAATCACTTCTTCAAGGTCACCAGAGCAGGCATTCAAATGGGGCCAAAATCAGGGCCCTCTAAGTCTGTGTGTTTCCGGGCTGTGTTTCCTCAGCCCCCGCAGTGGAAATTGACCTTAATGTTAAAGTAATATTTCCAAGACCCCCACCTCTAAGGGCCCCCAGGCTTGCTGCCCTGTTGCCCTTGTCACAGCTCTGAGAGCCACCCTCTGTTTTTCAGTGTTGTTATACGTACGGAGGGAGACCGAGGAGGTGTTCGACGCCCTCATGTTGAAGACCCCGGACCTGCAGGGGCTGAGGAATGCGGTAAGATGCTGGGGGTCCGCACCCGGGCCAGAGCCTGGTGGGCCCCAAGCCCACCCTGTCCCAGGAGGCCCACTTCGCGCAGGCAGTCTCTGGGAAGGGATGGCTGAGAACCTGGGCTTTCTGGTGGCCTACCGTCCCACCCGGCGGGGGGCCTGCGGGCCCTGCTGTGGGGGTGTTCCTGATGTTATCTCCCAGCCAGAACCCTGGCTCCACCCTGGGAGTTGCACACACCATAAATCCTCCTTAATCTGATGGCTGCTGTCTGACAGGCCAGGGCTTTTGTTGGTTTTGCAAACCTGTTTCTGTTTTAATGGGAATGAAACCCAAAAGGCCAGGCCCAGAGACACTCTTTTTTTCCTCTCCCAGGGGGCCTCATTCCTCCTGCTTGCGGTTGGCTGGGGAGCTGGCTGAGGTGGCAAAGGGTGGGACCTAGGCAAGGAGACCTCCCCAGCCCCCACCGCCAGAGAGCAGGCCACAGCCTGGCCCTAGCAAGACCGAGGGCCAGCTCCCTGCCCAGCCGAGAGCCCAGGCTCCTCCAGGGCAGCCGTGTCTGGAGGCTGAGCCCCCAGAAAAGCCAGAGGCCTCCGGCTGGAGGGGAAAAATGAATTAAATTGTCACTTTGGCTCCCTCCTGTGAGAGCCCCCGGTGCCGGGCACCGTGTGGGCAGGCTGCACCAGCCGCCCCTGGCATCCTCTAACCAGTGGGAAGCCGTACTGGCAGCACCTTCTCAGGTCCCGTGAGCAAGCAGCTCCAGAGGTCAGGGGACTTGCCAGGGTGGCCTGGCGGGAGCACCAGGGCTACCCTCCAGTCCAAGCATCTCCATTCCGCTGTCCTGTTCTACGTATTGCCGGCCTGCTCCATCATACCCAGGAAGTTGGGCTCACAAAAGGCCATTAATGACACTCCAGTGTAGACTCCTAATCCGTGTTTGCATGGTATCTTAAAGGGCCAGCTTCCCATCTGGAGCTTGAGCTCTCTTTCCAACAGCTCCTCTGAGGGCGTCCACTCTGGACCTGGATACCTCGGAGGATGGGGAGCTCACTACCTTTTGAGGCAGCTCATGCTATCTTTGTGCAAGTTCTTCAACTTACGTTTAGAAAGTTTAGAGTTCTTCTTTAGAGTCTCCCTGGTAGCTTCTGGCTGTATCACCATTAAAACAAATGGTTTAAGGGCTTTTCTGGTGTGGAAGGGTGGCTGTCAGAGTAACAGGGAGCCGGGCGCAGCTGTAATCCCAGCGGCTCAGGAGGCTGAGGCAGGAGGATTGCAAGTTCAAAGCCAGCCTCAGCAAAAGTGAGGATGAGTCTGTCTCTAAATAAAATACAAAGTAGGACCAGGAATGTGGCTCAGTGGCTGTCCCTGAATTCAATCCCTGGTACCAAAAAAAAAAAAAAAGAGTAACTGAGGATCTGAGTGTGGTGGTGTACTCCTGTAATTATAGAGGAGCCTGAGACAGGAAGAGTCCAAGTTCAAGGCCAGCCTGGGCAATTAGAAAGATCCTATCTCAAAATAAAAAAAATTAAAAAGGGCTGGGGTTATAGCTCCGTGGTAGAGTGCCCCTGGGTTCAATCCCCAGGACTGTCCCCCAAAGAGGAAGAGTAGTGAAGAGCTGAGCCCAGGCCATCTTCCTAAGATGCCCCGAGGGGCCGAGCTCCCCCTGGTCCTGACCTGAGCCATGCTGCTCAAGGCGGCCAGTTCCTCTGAACACAGGCGCCTCCCTGAGTGCATGGGACGGGCACCGGCTGCTCCTTTACGTGAATGTCGTGGGCGGACACCCTCTATGGACACCTTTTACTGCACATTACTTCCTCACTTTACAAATGAGGAAACTGAGGCTCAGGGAAGTAAGGGAGCTATTCAACATTCTGAACGCCAGGAGGCAGAGCTGGGACCGGACTGGATCTGTTTGCCAAGAGGAAACCTTGGGAGCTCTGGGGAGACGTGGTGGCGTGGGCTGCAGGAGCTCCACAGGCCTTGGAGCGCAGCTTCCTGTCTGGAGAGCAAGCAGCGACACTAGGGATGTGGCGGGGCCAGCTGACCTGGTTCCAGGCCTCCGTGCCATGCCTGGCTGCCTGTCTGGGGGCTCACAGGCACACCCCCAGCTGAGCTCACAGTTCCTGCCCAGAGTGGGGAAGTTTCGGGTTTCCCCCCTCAGCACGGCAATGCGCACCCCACCTCCCTCCTTCTAAAGCGGGGCTGTGGCCACTTACGCAGGCGTTGCTGGGTGCGGGGAGCCGTCCTCAGTGTCTTACCTGGATTGACTCAATTCTTCCAGCCATCCTCCGAGGTACACTCTCTACTGTCCCCATGAGCAGTTTGCACAGGGCCACTGTTTAGTCAGCTTTCCCGCTGGTGTGACCCAAGGATCTGTGAAGAGCCATTAGAGGATGAAAAGCCAGTTTCAGGGGTCTCATTCATAGAAGGCTGGCTCCATTCCTCAGGGCTCGAGGTGGAGCAGAACAGAAGCTGGGAATGTGACGGCAGGAAGCAGATAGACTCTGCTCATCTCCCAAAATACACACCCCCAAAGCCCACCCCAGGGACCACCTCCTCCAGCCACACCCAGCCGGCCTTGTCACCACTCCGTGAATCCCGTCAGGGGATCAATTCACTGATTGGATTGAGGCTCTTGTAACCCATCATCTCACCTCTAAGCCTTCTTGCATTGTCTCACACATGAGCTTTTGGGGGACCCTCACATCCAAACCATAACAGCCACCCAGAGGGAGAATGGTGGCACCCTGAACATTGGACCATCCATGTGTCTGGCTCTAGGCAGGAGGTAAGGGCAACGGGAGATGCTCATTAGGAAGGCTCATCCTACGATGATAAGTTTAAAGTGATACAAAACCACCTATGTGAATACGAAATTGTCCGTACACGTGGGAAGCGTAGGCCAAGGTGTGAACGGTGTTCATCTCTGGGAATCAGGACGATGAATGCTTTTAATTTTCTTCATATTTTCCATACATACATAAAATTTACATTCAGCATGTGAAAAACAATGGTGTTTAGAAGACTTGTGTAAACCTGGGTTGGGCAGCAGGCGTGAATCCCCTACCTTTCTCTTCCAGATCTCTGAGAAGTACGGGTTCCCTGAAGAGAACATTTACAAAGTCTACAAGAAATGCAAGCGGGGGTGAGTGCCCACTTCGGCCCCCACGCTGGCTGCTCAGTGTGAGGAGACTTCATACCTGGCCTCTGTGGAGAGGCTGGGGGATGGGGGACAATCAGAGGGAGACCAGTGGCCTGGTCACTAGTGGGAGGGAGGGGATGGGGAGGAGGAGGGTCTTCGTACATGACTCCTGGGGTGTAGGGGGAGGTACAGAGTTATACATCAGAAGACCCAAGTTCAAATCCCAAGGCCACTGAATGACCAAGATATTTGATTATGGTAATAATGATTTCAGTGGCCACCAGTCTCTGGGCTACCTCCTGTGTGTCATTGTGGGCTGAGCATATTTTATTTAACCCTCACAGCTACACTAGGAGTGCGACAGACAGGGAAACTGAGGCTCAGAGATGATGAGCAATGTTCAGGGCAGTGGACATTCAGCCGGGGAATGGAGGCCCAGAGGGAGGACGGCCTAGCACAGTTGCTGCAGATAGCCGGGGCAGGACAGCGCGGCTGGCCCTGATCCTGCAGAGGGAGCTGTGACTGGGAGCTGTGTGGAGGGTGCCCAGCCAGGGATGCTCCCTGGGCCCCCTCCACCTCACCTCCAGGCTGGACTAGGTAGAAGGAGAGCAGCTCTGGCCTCCAAGGAGGGGGCTGGGCAGAGCCTGTGCACCCACCAGAGGCTCCTGGGGATCACAGTGCCCTTTGTCCAGCAGACCCCTTGGTTGCCAGAAGGTTCTGGACTCCTAGGCTTCAGTCGCCTGGTCAGAGCTGGGGAGCTGGGCCTCTGCCACCCTTTCTGACCAAGTCACTCCACCAGCCCAGCAGGGGCAGTGAGGAATTGTCACGGCTTTATTTCCAACCCAGAGGACTCAGGAGCAGGGCCTTCTGCCCACAGCTCAGGCCTGACCCCACTGCCTGGGCAGTTTGACTTCAGGGGCTCTTCTGAGTAGCCCTGGGTGGCGCTGCCCTGTGGCTGCTGTCTGTGGGTGTTCCTTTTCAAGATCATGCAGAGAGGCCTCCTCTAAGCAGGCCCAGCCTCCCACGAAGGCTGCGGTTGGGGGAAGGTCTCCGTCCCTGGCCCTGGGAAGGCACCCGTTTGGTTTGGGTTGTAGAAGTGACCTGCGGGCTTTTGCACGTGTGTTTTTATTTTCCCCCAAGTTTCGGTTTCAAACTGAGGCTCACACGCTCTCTGGAGCCGAATCTACTTCGTGGCTCAGTTTTGCCCAGACAAGCCCAGCCCCAGGTCCCCCAGGGCCACTCCCATATCCCCTGCTCCAGCCCCACCTGTGCTGGGCTCCCCCACACGTCCCACCCTGGGGGCTGCCTGTATAGGAGGGGAAGGCGGTGGCCACGGGGATGCCCACCCCTGGCTCCACTGGCTGGGTCCTCAGAGGCTTTCCCGTAAGCCCAGGCAACTGTGTCAACCCTAATTATAATCACTTCCGTCGGCAGAGCCCCTTCTGACAGATGGGCACTGGGCTAAATAATGTCCGGGCGTCGTGTGGGCCCTTTGAGCTTGGTGGTATTATCTCTATTTCCACAGATGAGGAAACTGAGGTCCCAGGAAGGTAGTTACAAGATCAACCGCAGGGGATCCCCACTTGCCTAAAGCCGTGCAGGAGCCCCCTCCCCATTTTATCTCTCTTCCTCCGTGTCCCTCTGACTGCCAGGTCATGTGCAATAGGGCTGTGGCTGGGCTGCCTGGGGCATCCCTCCGTGGCCCTGCAGAGGCAGCCCACACCCACCCACCAGGCTCTCTGAGATCTCAGCCCTAGGGTGGTCTGAAATATCTAAACGAGAATGTTCCCCAAAATACCTTTGGGGAGAGGAGGCCGGGCACATCTGCGGTCCCCCTTGGGGTCCTTGAGGATGAGAAGTCCTAAGCGGGCTGCTCGCCTCTTGCAAACCCTCGGGAGGCCCAGTGCAGAGGGAGATAGGATCGCTTACAGCACCGCTGAGCGCCTGAAAGATGAACAGATACACTGCTTTTGCTGGCAGCTGGCCAGGGGTTGAACTTGACCCAGGGCAGAAGGCAGCTGGAAGCTGGGAAGTAACCAGAGGTCCGTACTCAGTGACAGCGGTCCCTGACAAGCCCTGCCACTCAGGACCCACTTGTCATCGTCCTGAGAGGGGAGGGCGTGATCCCTGGTGACGGAAGGCCCCACTGGGTGGAGGGAGTCAGTGTTCAGGTCGCAGGACGGGAGGCACCTACATGGTGCCCGGCACCTGCCAGCACCACTGTGGGAAAGGCCACCCAGCGCCCACCCCCTGGGCAGCCCTCGTCTCCTCTGGCCTGTTCCCAGCCTCCAGCCCCCAGACAAGATCCCTCTGTGAAATGCAGAAACCCCAGGCAGGACCCAAGGAGGGGGATCCTGAAACTCAACACTGGCGCCAGCACCCAGGCTGCACAGGCCAGGCCTCGCCCTGGAAGAAGCAGCCCGGCAGGCTGGTGCTGGCAGGGACAGCTGGACGCAGGCTGTGACCCTCACTGCTGTCCTCACTGCGGTCCCTCTCTTGTGTAGCCCTTGTGAGAGCAGACCGTCCACTCTGCCCTCGGAGGGTCAGCTCACCCCCGAGCTCTCCCCGCACCCAGAGTTTGTTTTCCTCGTATCTGCCACTTCCCAGCCTGGATCTGTGGGGCTCCACCCCTGTGGGAACCGAGGTCTAGATTCGGATCCCAGCTCTGCCGTCACCTAACCGTGTGACCATGGGCAGATCACTGTGTCACTGAACCTCAGCTTCCTCACCTGTGAACTGGAGTAACAGCTGTGGGGCTCCTCCTCCCAGCCTGTGAGATCCTGCACTCCTGGCGGACAGGGTGACGATCCAGTTCATCTCCATGTGGCCCTGGTGTTGGAGGGAGGCACATCCTCAGCAAATGCTGGAGATGATAAGGGCAGATGGACAGGAGGTGACAATTTGGTCTTTGTCAGGCTGGCCAGATCCTTGCCTGGAGAGTTAGTCCTGGGGTTTCAGCTTCAGGGGATAACACCAAGCCAGGGTCTGGGTGGCATCTGCCTCCTGTGTGGCTGGCATACCTGAGTGGCACATCAATCACAGCCTCCTGCTGAACCCAAACTGCCACACCTCCTGACTTGAACTCCCTGTGTGTCCCTGTGGTTACTGGGTGACCAGGGGAACACTGTCTCCCCCAGATCTGCGTGTCACTCCCAGGTACCCATGTGCATGTGCAGCAGGTTGAGCGTGGCAGGTTTGACTCGGCCCCTCTCCTGTAAAGGGGACTGTGATTACCACCCTGCAGGCTGGTGGGCAGGACCCCAAGGCAGTTTGTGAGGTGCCTGAAATGTGGCTGTCCTCTGTGTCCCTCAGAGGGACAGGATGCAGGCCCCTGGCATGTTCCAACCACGCCGCCTCCTCTCTTCCAGGATCTTGGTCAACATGGATGACAACATCATCCAGCACTACAGCAACCATGTGGCCTTCCTGCTGGACATGGGGGAGCTGGACGGCAAGATTCAGATCATCCTGAAGGAGCTGTAGGGCCCACGCCCCCAAACCCCAGACCCGGGAAGTGGCCCGTGCCACACCCAGCCTCTCTGCATGCCTCAGTGCTGTTACTTGAATGTGCTCCTTGAGGGAAGTGGCCCCCAAGTCACAGACCCCAGCCGTCAAGCCAAGAAGGGACTCCGAGGGTCTGCCGATCCGAACTCCATCCTTGCTTGAATCCTGCCAGTGCCCGCCCACCAGATGCAGCGCCCTGGTCAACACCAGGCCTGCATCCTGTCCCTCTGAGGGACACAGAGGACAGCCACACTCCCGGCCGGTCCCTCCTCACCGTCCCCTGCCGGCTGCCTTCAGAGGTGGAGCCCTCCCCCCACAGGCTGCACAGCCAGCTTGACCCTGGCATGGCCCGCCCAACCCTGGCATGGCCTGCTCCGGATTCTTCCGTCAACTTCAGACCAAGGATTTCTCACCCTTTGGTCACTTAACTTGAAAATGCTTGATTTTCAGTGCAAATGACTTTTAAAAGACACTGTAGTGGCAACACCTCTTCCTCACTGACTTCTCAAGGCGAGATGTAAATAACAGAGCTCTGGAACAAAGTGACCGCTGTCAACACTACCACCTTGCCATCGCTGCTGTACACATTTCTTATTATAAGTTTCACTTATGTTATATATATAAATATATTGTATGTATATATGCAACGTTTTATATTTTTCATGGATACGTTTTTATCATTTCAAAAAATGTGTATTTCACATTTCTTGGACTATTTTTTTTAGCTGTTATTCGATTATGCATTTTGTATACTCATAGTATTTAGTAATAAAAGGCTCCCTATGTATTACCTCACACGCTGCATTCACTCCTTTTTTGAGGGTCTTCCAGCAAAAAGAGGGGCCAGGGCGGATGAGGCCCCTCTCCTCTCCGCAGTGGCTCTGTCCCGGGAGTGACTTGCCCTGGGCTGCAGGATGGAGGTGAGCACAGAGGTGCAGCCCCTATGGCCCCACCAGGATGACTGTGACAACCCTAGGATCGTTGACTGAGATAAAGGCCTGGAAGGACCAGAATGGCCATGGCGAGGAACTCCCAGCTGGGGCCAGGGGGCAGAGCCCAGGTCTGGGAGCCACGTGACCTGCTTCTTGTACCATCTCTGCGTCCCCTCCAGGCCATTGCTTTCTCTGGGGCCAGCTCCTACTGGCTCATAAAATGACGGTGCACATCTCTCCCAACAGCATGGCCAGTGACAACATGTTGGTGCACTGAAATCAGCCACGGTGGGGGTTACAGGCCAAGCCCTGTATCGCCCTGGGGAGCAAACCACAAGTCAAGGCTTCCTTCCTTCCTCTCCTCTTCCCTTCCCACCACTGCATCCAGCCTGTTTCCTTGGAAGGTGCAGGAGGGGTCTACGCTGGCATCTTGAGAGCCCTAGGGTCATGATGTGGGGGAGGGATGCATCCCCGAGCACCTCCCTGCCTTCAATCCCACCACCTCTGCTTTTTACATATTAAGATTTGTTTTAAATGTTTGTCTAAACAAAACTCTTTTTAAAGTTTGAAAACCAAGATTCCTGTTAGGACCTTTCAGCTCCACCAGAGTTTATGGTTCCATTCCCAAGGCCCTGCCTAGAGTCAGGGCTGGGACCAGGGTCAGGCAAGTGAGGTACCAGCCTTGGGCATAAAAATTAAGGGGTACCAAAGAGCTCAGTAAAGTAGTTAAGTAAAACTACAATGCAGAGTCTTTTAAAATTGAGGCAAAAAAAATTCACTTTGAATAAAATCTCAAAATGTTAAGGACAGGCTCAGCGTCACGGATCAGGCTTCAACATGGCTCCTGTGGCCCTGGCGGAGGGGCCCTGCAGAACATCCAGGGTTACTCTGCCCCGCCCAGGCCTCACTAGTGCTGTGACATCACTCCAGAGGTCAGAGAAAAGTGACGTGTGAAGGTTAAATGACAGGAGGGCCGCTGGATGTGGTGGCACCCACCCCTAGTCCCAGCTGAAGCAGGAGGGTGGCGAATTGAAGCCAGCCTGGCAACATGGCCCCATCTCAAAAAAAAAAAAAAAGCAACCACCTGAGTGCTGAGCAGTAACACAGGCTGCAGGCACACAGTAGGTGCTCAGCTTTCCTTCTTCTGAGCTTCCTACCCAGCTCCCCTCCCAGAGCCACTTGGGAACTGGAAGGTGCTGCCTCTCAATCTTGATCACCTGTTGGAATCACCTTGACACTTTTGCCGGCCCTCTTCTCTCCACCCTCTTCTCTCCCCCACTGCCCAGACCCCACCCTGGAGTAACTAAATGAGCTAGTGACCCTGGGTGGGGTCAGATGTCAGTACTTTGTGATGTTCCCCAGGTGACCACAGCATGCGATCAAGAACCTCGGATGGAGAACTACTGCTCTAAAGGGGCGCCACTCCACAGGCCTTGGAGCCTCTGCAGCCCCTGGGTCTGCCCACACTTCTGCGCAGCAGGAATCACCAAGGTCAACAGCACGGGGCTCCCCCAGCAGCTTGTTGGGAATGCAGAATCTCAGGCCCCACCCCAGACGTACCAAACCTGCATTTTAACAAGATCTCCAAGTGATTTGTGCGCACACTGAAATTTGGGAAATACTTTACTAAACTGTTAGTGTGTCCTGACACTAGCTAGGTACGCTGCAGTCACACTCAGAACTTCAGTGAAGACAACAATGATGGACCAAGTCAGAACTCCGAGGGCTGCAGCCTGCGCATGCTCTCAGCATGGACCCTATGATGGCTCCTCCTTTTCTTTTTTTGCTGGGGGGGGGGCGGCAATGAAAATCGAACTCATGGGTGCTCTACCAGTGAGCTACATTCCCCAGCCCTTTTATTTTTTGAGACAGGGTCTTGCTAAATTGCTGAGGGTCTTGCTAAATTGACCAAGCTGGCTTTGAACTTGTGATCCTCCTGCCTGAGTCTCCCAAGTCACTGGGATGACAGGTGTGTGCCACCACGTCCAGCAACAGCTCCCTCTTGAGGTGAGCCTGGTGTCCAGCTGTGGGTAGGAAACCTCAGGGGATGCAGCTGTGAACAGCCCGTGACATCTTAAAAGAGGAGGAGGATCAAGACAGCACCCTGAGCTTAGGGCCTCAGCGCAGTATGTCCCCCACAGAATGTGGGTTCTGATTGGCCGACCAGCCCTGCTGTTCTCTCCTCAGGTCTCTTTCTTGGCCCACTTGGAGGGGGTCATTGGAGAGACAGTTCAATTGGCAGAGTCCTCTGAAGGGTGAAGAGGGCTTTGTGGTTTTCCTATACGTTATCACCAGCCCCAAACCCAGCAAATAGCAACCAGTCACCTGCTAAGGTCGAGTACCCAAGGTCAGAGGAAGCTTAAAATCAAGGCCTCAGGATCTGGCCCCAGTGTCAAGAGCCTGGGTCAAACAAAGGATGACTCTGAGTGTCAGCTTTGAAGAATCTTACAGAACTTCTAGCATAAATGTGGACAATCAATGACCCCCAAAAGAGTTTCCTTTAACTCAAATAATAATTTCAAATTGGAATATAGTTGTCCATATCTCATGTTAAAAGATTTACTATAGTAAAGAGTTCCTGGGCTTGCTGGGCATGATGACCCGCACCTATAATTCCAGCACTCTGGAGGCTGAGGCAGGAGGACTGCAAGTTTGAGGCCAGCCTGGGCAACTTAATGAAACCTGTCTCAAAATAAAAATCTAAAAGGTCTGGGGTTGTAGCTCAGTAATGAAGCATTTGTGGGCTCAATCCCCTGTACTAAAAAAAAAAAAAAAAAAAAAGGATTTCCCTGAATTTAGTAGAAAACCTTCAGCTCTAGCACCACTTTGCTGGAGCTGAGTGGTGTTGGGTGCCCTGTGAGATGGCGGCAATCTCGCACCAGTCCCCATGCCCACCTGACCTGCTGCACTCGATGCATGGTCTGCTCAGCCTCTGAAAGTGTCAGAACTTGGAGCCCCCGAGTCCCACCCCAGCTCTTCCCCTGGAGAAGCTGAGACCCTGGGAAGTGCAGAGGGAAGCACGAGGTGATTCTGACTTTAAACCCCAACCTCCTTGCTCTTCCCACAACCCTCTAGGCTGCCTCTCAGTCATTCCAAGGCCAAGGGGCCCTTGCCGGAGTCTGAAGTTCACCAAAAGGCCGGCTTTAGTGAGAAGCAAGAATTCCGTTTAATTGAAAGTGTTATTCCCTCCTTTCCCTCCCTCTCCTTCACCCACCCCCAAAGGGAGAGCCCATCAGCAGCCAGTTCTAACAGGAAGGCCCAGGGTGCAGCATTCCCGGGAAAACAGCGGCAGCAGAGTGAGAGGCCAGGACCTGTGGGCAGGGCTGGGGCTGGGGGAGGTGCAAGAGAGACTCCACGCAAGGCCGAGCGAGGAGGGGCTGAGTGGTGGGCTCCACCTTCCTCTTGATGAGGAGAAATTATGCAGGCCAGAAGAGATCTGTTAAAAATGGCGTCCAACTTGGTCAATAAGTCTGTCTCTGTCACCGAAGCAGGAGGTCAGGAGGGGATGGAGCCCAGGCTCAGGCAGGGGCAAGGTCAGGGGGGAGAGATCTGGTGGCACAGGGCACAGTGTGGCCTCCCTGCCCCTAGGAACTGCTCCGTCCAGGGCTCTGGCTCCAGCAAGGGACTGTCACACGTGCTACACAAGCCTGTGAACCACGGGCAGCTCTCCAGGGGGGTGATGAAGAAAAGGGCCGGGGCCGGGCCAGCTTCCAGGTTCTTCCTGAAGGTGCAACATGAAGCCTTAACTGAGTCGAGGGCCCAGCCAGCACCTTCCTGGTGTCTCTGGGTCTTCCTGGCTTCTGAAATCAAGAAGGAGTCCAGAAGTCAAGGGCGGACAGAGGGGACCAGGCTGGGGCACACTCCACCCCAACCCCTGCTCCACGACGGCTGGGGGCTGCTGTCAGGTGGACCGTCTCCTTCCTGGAGGCCCTGCTTCAGGAGGTGAGTCGCCCAGAGCCAGCCTGGGGAGTGCCTGGGGAAGACCGGGGGCTCCGTCTACCCCCTGCTGGGGACACTGCTGGAGCTGGTGGGGGGGGCAGGCAAGGGTGATGGCAGCCCCTTGCAGTAGCACTGGGGCAGGTGGCAGGTCATCAGCTGTCACAGGCAACACAGGTCCTCCTGGTGAATATCCTGGGGAGGGCGGGGCGGGGCTGGGACTGGGGCTCTCACGGAGCCTGCGTGGCGCCCTACCTCACTACATCACTGGGATCCATTTGTGGTCCTCGTTGTAGAGGAACGACTGCTTTCCCGGGAATTCCGGCTTGTAGGTGGCTGAGGGGAGAGAGAGACGGCATGAGAGGGAGAGGCTGGCCCCTGGGTCCTCTGGCCTCCAGCCTCAGGCTGGAAAGGCCCAGGGACCCCTGTGTCTCACGGTGGAGGAGACAGAGAGGGAGGAAGGGAATGGCCTCCTGTCACCTGGCTCTTAACTGGCCAGGGCTGGACTTGAACTTGGCTTGGGGAACTGTTTCTCCTGTTTACATTTTTGTTTGGTTTCTGTCTTGCGGTGCTGGGGTCGAACCTGGGCCTTGTGCAGGCTGGGCCAGTGCTCTGCCATGAGCCACGGCCCAACCCTCTGTTTAACTCTTTAACAGAACAAAATTTGCAAGACTGTTTTCTAGAAATTTGAAAAACATATTGAGTAAAGGAAAATTCTTAAAGACCCAAGGTGTTAGCTTGCTGAGATTTGCAGACACGGTCCTCTGGGAGGAGGGCAACTAGGACAAGTAGGGCTTGGGAACCAGAGCCTGCAGTGCTCTGTTCTGAAGCCGGCTTCGTTAACGGCCCCCTCAGGTGTCCTCTGAGGAAGCTGCCGAGGGGCACCCACGGCAGCCAGGACACCTGCGCACACCCGAGGCAGACGCCTGCACGTGCTCACCAGAGACCCCTCAGGGAAGTCCACTTGGTGCAGGTCATCCCAGCAGCAGGAACAGCCCAACCTGAGGGTCAGGTGCCCACCGTCAGACGAAGCTCTAGAGGACAGGGCCAGGTCAAACAGGCCATCCCAAGGTCCCTGGAGCTCACCCTCTGATGGAAGTAGCACACTCCGTGGACCACGCCACGTTCTCCTGGGCTGACTAGAAGCCCCTGGGGTCACCCCTCTGCTGTCTTGTTGGTCTGACCCTCACCAAGTATGCAAAAGGCCCAAGCTAGGACAATGATCTTCCCCTGCCCCCTCCCATTTCCCTCACCTGTGTGTGGCGGGGAGGGTGTGTCTCCCCTACCAGACTGTGGTGCCTCTGGGAGACACAGGACTGTCACCTCAGTCTCCCAGGGTGGGAGCCTCTTCAACACTCGCCTAACTTTGCCTTTCTCCCACGTCACCTGCCACCCAGCCACACCTGTTGGTCCCTGTTGCCACTAGTTCTGGCCGTTGTCGGAGAGTGGTGACAGCTAAGGGATCTAAGGGGAGCTACAGCTAGGTGAGGAAGCACAGAGATCACCATCAGAACGAGGCCCTCAGGACATCAGCTCCCAAGGGATCCCAGACGTGAGGGGGGGTCACTGTCGGTGCCTCTGTAGGAGGGGGTGGGGCTGCCTGCAGAGGAGCTCACTGAACAGTCTCTGGTCGCCATGAGCGAGGTGTCCGGGCCTCTGTCCTGCCACAGAGGCCCTGTGTGTAGCTCGCTCCCAGTGTCCCTGCCTGTGAAATGCCTTGGCCGGACTGGACCAGTGGCTTAACTGTTTCTTTCTTGCGGTACTTGGCCCTGAACCAGGGGTGTCGTAACACTGAGCCACATCCCCAGTCCTCTGTTTTTATTTTTAGACACTAAGTTGTCCGGGCTGGCCTTGAATTGTGATCCTCCTGCCTCAGCCTCCCGAGTAGCTGGGATTACAGGCGCGTGCCACCACACCTGGCATGGCATGTAGATTTTTAGCAATAAGAACTTTTCTGATAATTTGACAAAAGCCATGGCCCCTCACCACGGAGAATAATGTCTGCAGGGAATTCAGAGTCACTGGCTACCTAGCACCTGTCTTTGACCTCTCGAACCTTCCCATCCTGGGTTATAAATCCCTGACCTGGATCACCTCCAAGAGCCCTTCCACCTTAAAAAAACAAAATCTTTGTATACTCTTGAAAACGTGAGCTGAAGACTCCTAAATCTCCCAAATCTCCTCTCGCTCTGTAACCTGTTCAGCAAACAGCCCATAAATCAGTGGCGTTCAACGGCCTCGATGACAAACAATCCCAGAGGAGCTGGCGTTTACAATCACTCAGAACAGTCCTCTGACCTGGGCCGGGCAGGCCTTGCTGGGACGGTCCTGCTGTCCACCGGCTGGTGTTGGACACAAATGACGCGCTAGAGATGAAGTGCTTGGGGGGCCCCTCGTAGTCCACGATCTCATACTGCCCAGGGCCTGGCAGAGACGGCTTCAGGGGCAGAGGCAAAGGCTGAGCAGAGAAGTTCAGCATGGAGTTTTTCCTTTGAAAAAGACAAGATGGGAAGAGGTCAGCCAAGTGGTCTGCTGGGGAAGTGCCGACGTTTAGAACAGCCAGAGCCCCACAGCACCAGGGTACTGCAAGGTAGGGGGAGAGCTGGGCAGAGCCTGGCTCGGCTGCTCGTGAGCCCTGAGCCCCCGGAACCTCAGTTTCTTCATCTACACGAGGGTGATCATAGCAGTACCCACCTCGGAGGCTTTTGCCAGGGTTAAATGAGATGATGCAGCTCAAACATGGCAGCACGCAGAACAGGGCCTGGCCCAGAGCTGAGCGCTCGGAATGCCCGGGCACAGCTCTGGTTACTGCACCAAGCAGGAAGGGTCCTTGATCGGCAGTGCCTGTTGGAGCTCTGTGGAGAGTTCTAAGGCCTCGGGTGGGCTCCACGGGAAGAGTGTTGGTGGTCTACCCGTGCTGCCTGCCGTGGCCAGGCGAGGTGAAGAGGCGTCCCACGTCCCAGGGATGTGGTATCCCACGACTAGCAGGTACCTAGAGACTGTCCCGAGATTCCAGAGGTTAAGGTTCCAGAATTCTGCTAGATATCTTCCTGGAAAGGCAAGATCCAGGCGTGGAGAGACACTAGGTGGGGCAGATGACACCGGCACGTTTTCAGTCTGTCTTCTGCCTCCTCGGGGAGAAGCAGTCTCCTTTTCTCTCTGGCATGGAGAGACCACGGAAAGCTGGCCAGGTCCGGGCGGAGTCTCTCCGTCTGTAAACTGAGGGAGTTGGGCAGGGTGACCTCCGTCGTCCCTTCCAGTTGTGACCCTTCGCCAGGCCTCAACTTGCAGTTTTCCTGGTGGCCAGGGGTCCTGGGGGTGCCAGAGGCAGGGCTGCCTCCTCCTGCCTGTACCCAGCCTTTCTTCCAAGGTCTCTCACCAAAGTGCAACGAAGGCTCTTAGGGCGTGGGGTGGCCCAGGGAGCCGCACCCCTCCTCCAAGCAGGGGGACGGCTAGGGGTTCCTGGGTCCCCATTCTGTTGCCACCACCTTTTTAAACCCACAGAGACAAAGGGACCTAAAGATGTCCACTCCGTCTTCTTATTTTGTTAAATAAGTTGGTGTCTAGAGAGAGAAAGTCACGTATTTAAAGTCACCGAGCACATGGGTGGGATGCTGGCGTGAAGTCACCGGGGCCGAGCAATTGGAGAAGGCACCATGGCCGAGGGGATGGAGTTCCAGGGTTGAACAGACCTGGGTCTGAGTTCCGGTCATGCCACCAACTGGCTGTGAGACTTTGGACAAGTCCCTGAGCTCTTTGTACCTCAGCATCAGTGTCCTTAGCCAGGAGCAAAAACGCCTGCTCTTTATAGAAGTGTTATGATGGAGAGACAAAGGCTTGTGAAGCACCAGCACATAATAGGTGCTCAATAAGAGTAGCCGTTGTCATGGTCCTGCAGCACTGCAGAGAAGCAGCTAAGCTTCAGGAGAGAGAGAGAGGTTTGGGCCTCACTCAGAGCCACCCGGAGGCAGGGGCATCCGCACTGCTGCGGAGGCCAAGGAAAGCTGCCCTAACCTAGCCTGGGGCTCACGTCTTGTGATGGGGGACAGCTGACCTGGACACTTATGTTTAGAACAAAGATGTCCACCACAGGAACAGGAGGAGCACTGCCTCCATTGGCTCCCACCCCAGTCTGCATAGAACTGGGCACAGGTGTGCCCGACACCTGTCCCCTTATAAACAGACGCTGCCTGCTGCCTGGCCTGGCCGTGGCTCCCTCTTTGCAGCACCCCAGAAATTTGGTGAGTGGGTGACTGGCCTCTGAGAGGCAGGCTTGAGTCCGGGAATGACAGCCAAGAGGAGCTGGCCATGCATGGGTTGCCTGTTGGTCAGGGCTGCCCCAAGCCCAGGAGGCCACCCTGTGCTTTGAGAAGACCACGAGGTGTCTGCTCTGCTGCGCAGGGTGACCCGCAAGAGGCCTCAGCAGCTGAGCCACAACCCTGGCAGCCAGGGAGAGCCCGAGAGGTCCCTTCCTCTGCTCTGTCATAGGCCAGGGGTGGCTCAGCACCCTCAGCCCAATGCTGGGGGTCTTCAGTGGCACCAGCCATGTGTGTGACTCCATCCACATGGCTCTGGGCTAAGGCCCAGGCCTGAATGTCCTCGAGGGCTGGACAGTCCCCTGAGAGTTCAATCATGGCTGCTGACAGCTAAGGCAGGACAGCTGTGCTCTCAGACAGAAGGTTCCCTCCCCACTCGCCAGCGGTGTGTCCTCAGGAAAGTCCCTTGGCCTTCCAAGCCTCAGTTTCTTCGTCTGTGAAATGGCGGCAGTGATACCTGACCCCAGCAGTGTGGGACTGACCACTGCTTTCCTCGGGTTACTTTTTGACACAGGTTAGGACAGAGTTTAAAACTCTGTGTGGGGAGTAGAGACCAGCAGCTCCTACTGGGGAACCCGGAAGCCCACCCTGGAAGGGTGGCAGGTGCCCTGCAAGGGAAGCAGGTGACCTTCAGGTGGGAAGGACGGGGAAGGACACGCCAGCAGCAGCAGCACAGCAGGGCACCAGCAGGGAGGGCCTCACAGACCCAGGGCACGGGGGGGGGGGGGGGGGGGGGACACCAGGAGAGGAAGGCTGGGCCCTTCCACCGCCTTCCACCCTCCATTTACCCACGAGCCTGGAGCCTGCCTGCTTCGCTTGTTTCCTCCCCAAACCCACCCAAGCAGGAGAAGTTCCAGGGAAAGCTCCGTGGCCTCTGGAGCCAGCCTAACTTCCACCCAAACACTCGGCACACACTGCTCGGCAGTCCCCGCCCTGCCCAGGGCGCCCCCTCTGCCAGGAGCACCCGTCTGCCCTGCCAGCTCGGATTCAGGCTTCACCCCTTCCGCCCTCCCCGACTGGCAGCCCTGGACAGTCCCCTCCGACCTCCACAGGGAGGTGGAGGACCCAGATGTGGGTCCCAGCTCCAGCCCACAGCACAGCTGCACTTTCCCGAGGGCACAGGCACCCCCTGTCCCCTAGGAGAGGCAGGAGGTTGACAGGGGGCTGCCGCTGGAGCTTCTGGGCGGGGGTATCTGGGGCCAGCACACCTGCTGCTCTTCCTTCCTTTGTCCCCAACCTGCTAGATTTCCAAGCCTTCTACCTGCCCACTCTGGAAGGGAAGAGAGGGGACTGTGTCTGATTCAGCCGTGGGACCCTCAGGGAGGACACTCGCTGAGCCTCAAAGGAACACCAAGGGGCAGAGGCAGCAAAGGAGCCAGACCCCTGAGCCCCACCCAAGACTAAGCCTCGGTCAGGGGCGTCCTGTGTGGCGGTGGGGCTGGACATGCAGACTGGACCCAGGGCAGCTGACACAACTCTGTTGTCAGGGGCTTTATGAGCGTCCCCTTGAGAGCAGAGCCACCTGCTCTCACCCCACGGAAAGGAAACAGCTTTCAAAGGCTCTTGGTTGGCCCCCAACAGGATTCAATGTGTTGGCAGCTTCCAGCTCAGCTGCTTGCAAATCGCCCAGAATAATGAAGGCTTGAAGGACACAGCAGGTCACTGCATCCAAGACCCTTGGGACACTCCCAGGCACAGATTCACTCTGCCTCAGGGGTTCCCAGGGCTGGGAGGGGTGAAGGGGCAATTTTTCTCAACATTAAAGGGCAGCGATTTGCCCCTGGGGTGGAATGCGGTGTCTGTTCAACAGGTAGCGGGTGACAGATGACAGTCGCTTGGGAAGAAGCCTCCCATATCTAATTGGAAATCCAGGGGCTCTTCAGGGGGGTGCAATGTAATTACCCAAATTGGAGCGGGGCCAGCGGGCCTGATCCTTTGGCTCTGGCTGTGACCACAGCGTGTCTGTGCAAAACCAGGGGCTTAGAGACTCCAGGAAGCAGCTCCAGGTTAGAAGGCCGTCCCTGGGCGCCACCTCCACAGGCGGGTGGGCCTTGAAGCTGCACCAGGAGGAGCCGTTTTGATCTCCAAAGCCCTTACCCTGACCCGCCCACTCCCCTGAGTCACTCAGGACCTGGAAGGGAGACCTTGGCTGGCACCAGAAGCTGATAAATCCTCTTAGCTTTGAGTCAGCAAGTGGCACAGCGACACCTCGGGACGGCCCTCCAGCCGAGGAGCTCAGGAGGGCTGGCACAACACACTGCCGGCCCTGGCACGGCATCAGCCCTGCAGGGGCTACCCCAGGAACACAGGTGGGTGCCAGGACCTGCTCCAGACTGGGCCAACCCGAGCTCAGCGGCCACGTCCTCTCATCCTGGCACCACGTCACCAGGGTTCTTCCCCAGTTCACTGCGATGAGTCACAGTGCTCTTACCCCAATTCCCAGAGATGAAGGACCCGGAGCTCCCAGGAGCTAAGTGACCTGCCTGCCCCCGTCCCTGGGGCTGGAGAGTGGGGATGGTGGGAGGCCCCAGGCCCTGACCTCAGAGCTGGCACTAACCCGCTGCCATGCTGCCACAAGGTCTCCCTGGCAGACACACTGAGCGGGCACCCGTGAGCGCTCAGTCTTTCTCCTGCTCCCTGGGCTCTGCTCTTGGAGGGGGGAGTCACACGGGATGAACTCCTCAGGGGGGAGTCCACCGGCCTCACGTCCCTGCACCCTGGAGAAAGCAGAGCCCCGTGCTGTGTTTGCGAGCTGTAACCCCAAGGATGGGGACCCTGGAGGTCCACAGGTGACCAGGCCACAAGTGTCTCAGGAGGAAGCAATGCCCAGGCTGACCACCCACCATGGGCCCAGGCTCCTGTTCCCCTGCCCTCCAGGACACAGCGGGAAATGAGTGGCACTCGACAGGTGGGAGGCTTGGATAGTCCTTCAACCTTCAACTGGACCTCTCCTTCCTATTCCACCGTCTCCTTCATGGCTCAACGTAAACAGATGAACACTCTTCTAGAATAGTCCAAGGCCTATCCGTTTTGTCTTCTTGTTTTTAAGTAAAATTGTAGATTCTCACCTCCGTTCTTTCTTGTCAACTTATAAGCGGACATTTTGGGCCTCTCCTCTGTGGTCCAGGCTGGCCTCAGTTCACCGTCCCCTTCTGTGCTCCCCTGAGTGACATGGCGAACAAAGCTGGGTCCCAAAGTGCCAGATGTGAGCAGGTCCCCTCTTCACTCGTGGAGAAGGGAGGCCCGGGGACGTGGTGTCTGCACGGGGGACCAGAGCACAGGGCTTCCCTGCTGGACGAACCCGATCCTCCATTCACGAAGCATCACAGAAAGCCAGTGAGCGCCCGACACCCCAGACACACAGGGCCACCCCTGGCCCCATTGGTGCCCCATGAGGGGTGTGGCTACATGACCTGGGGTCCCACGTGAGCCAGCATGTGACGATGCTCCTCTGCCTTGCGCTGGGGTTGTTCTTGGGAGGACCTGGCTAATGTGGCATCCCGTTCCCCTGAGCACCCACAGACCTACGGAGCCCGCTGAGTGACAGGCGGAAATGCCACCAGATGGGAATGATGAGAATGACTTCAACTTGCTGCTCCAAACCTGAGCAAAATCCAACCAACCAGGTAAAAGGGTTAAAAACGAAAGGTTCTCTGCTCTCCTGTCTCCTGTGGCCATTTGCCTTGAAGAAGCTTCCAGATTTGTGTTGGGGCTTCAGCTGCCATTTCAAATCCCAACTGTTCCTGATGACCTCTGTGTCCCTGGGATGTGGAGCAATGCCAGCTGCACCAGGAGTGACGGCTGACTATCTCAGGGAGATGGGGCGCTTCCTCATCTGCACACCCCAGGTGACCGAGGGCTGGGACACCACACGGTGCGGTGCGGCAGAGGTGGAAGGAGTCACAGCTGTTTCCAGTTCCTCCTCCCGTAGGCCTTGCAGAAGCCCGAGGAGACGGACTCTCGTCTGCACTGAAGCCTGAGGCTCACTCTCAACCACTCTGTTGACCTGCAGAGCAGGGGACAGCTGGCACGTGAAGGTGACCCAAGCCAGCCTGCAGCAAGATGTCTCTGACATTTGGAGGGGCCTGTTTCTGGAGACTGGGAAGGGGGGCCGAGCTGCAGACCCCAGGAACCGCAGGGCAGGAGGGACTCACCTAGTCGCCGCCCTCTGAGGCCGAGGCCCTTCTCCAGATGCTGTTTGATGTGTCAGATTCAGGACTTGCTCCTCTCCCTAATCCCTGTCCCCTTGTCCCAGGCTGACCGTCAGGGGATACTCGGTAGTGCCAGCCCCTGAGTTACCTAGGCTTCTGACCCACTGTGACTATAACCTGACCTCTCTGGAGAGACCCAAGTGGCTACACCTGCCCAAAGCCAGCCCTGCTTGGAGGATCGGCAGAGGGAGGGCTTAGAGGGTGACTGACCTTACTGCAAATAGTTCTAGAAGCTCTACCACCATCTAAGTGTCTGAGGAAAGTAACACTGACGGTGTGAGGTATTAAACGTGAAGATGCGACGTCTCCTCTGCTTTTCAAACCTGTGCTAGTATCAACTCGCCATTTACCCCTAGATGCCTAACATACATTTTTAATTTTGAAAGCAGCTCCACAGGCTTGAGTCACCACCCTGTGCAGATAGGGCATGGAGGCTCACAGAGGTTGGCATATGGCCCAAGGTCCCACAGCCCAAAACAGCAGAGCTGAGGTTCAAATTCAGCAGGTTTGACCAAAAACTCAGAGAGCCTCCTGCCCCTCCTATGTCCTGCCGCTCCATGGAGACTTTACACTGCAGAATCAGAACCCTGTCCGCAGTGGATGGCACACGACATGGGGAATGTGGGAAGATCTGCACAGTCCTGAGCCTGGGGCACCTCACGGGAGCTAAAGTCTTGCTTCTTCTATGAAGTAAGAATATTTATTCCTACGACAGGGTCATCATGATAATTGAGTGAGATTCTAAGTTCCTGGCATAGAGCAATTGCTCAATAGATACTATGCATTGGGCAAGCATGTACTGAACACCTACTATGTATGTCTGCAAGAGTCCCTGGTACTGAATCCTGCTCAGTAGTGACATCTCTCCCCCTTTCTGCCCACATTAGGATACTGCCCCCAAACCACCTTGCAAAACGAAACTAAGCAAAAGAATAATCTGGACTCACGGAATATGGGTCTTCTTTGGAACCCTGGTGTAATCGTTTGGGTTGTAGTAACCAGGCCCTGGGCCTGTTGACGTCAGTTTTAATCCACGATCAGTTTTTGATTTAAAGCAAGACATTAACGACTTTGGTGACTGCTTCACAAGGGATTCGTTGACATCATACTGTCCTAAACAGAAAGAAATTTTAAAACGGAATAAGGAACTCTTCTCAAATAAGTAAAAATTCGTATCTCCCACCTAAGAATGCATTTAAGGGCTGTAAGGCCATATCACCCCACGACGGTCAAACGCCGGGGCTGCCTGGAACAGCCAAGAGTAATACTGTCTAGTAACACTAGAGAACTGGCCCTGGGCCTCACACGCTGGGCTCACCCAGTCCTCACTGCCCTGCAGGGTGGGCACTGTCCCCTCCATTCTGACACAATGACTCAAAGACACTAAATAACTTGCCAGAGGACTTAGGACATCTAGCCAGGGACTTAGAGCAAGCCTAGTATGCTGCTCTACAGAGTAAGAATAATAGATCTCACCAGGCCCAGTGGTGCGTGCCGGTGATCCCAGCAGCTCAGGAGGCTGAGGCAGGAGGATCGCGAGTTCAAAGACAGCCTCAGCAACTTAGCGAGGCCCTAAGAAACTTAGTGAGACTCACCTGTCTCTAAATATAAAAAAAGGGCTGGGGGTGTGGCTCAGTGGTTAGGCACCCCTCAGTGGTTCAATCCCTGATACCTAGATAAATACTTCAGTGGTTGCTTTGTAGATATTACACAGCAACAGTACTTATTGAACCCTGTTAGGGAGAGAAAAGTCCACCTGCCTCAAAAGCCCGGGCTTCCCCACCACGCCCACCTCAAGACACCGTGAGAGAATCCAATTTATTTGGGCACAAGACTTCAGAGAAGAGGATGGCCTGAGCTGGGGGCAGGGCAGCAGCTGCATCTCCTCAGCTGCCAGGAGCCCTGGGAAGGGCAAGGGGCTGGGCCGTCCGCACTCGCTGGCCAAGGCCCCGTCACTCAGAAGTTAAGGGAATTACCTGGGGGAACAGAAAAGCTCCAGCAACAGCCGCTACCTCACGAGAAAGTGTGAGTAAATCAACAGCCTGAACGTCTGGGCGGGGGCGGAATGGGTCAAGGGCCCGGCTGAGGGGACAGCAGCCCTGACAGTGTGAATAAAACTCTCCTAACGCCCCACGGACACGCTTGTCAACAGGCCCGAATAAAAACACCAGGCCCACAGTCCGCACCCCTGCCACAGCATCTACGCACACACGGCACATCTCAGTGAAAATGGGCAGAATCCAGAAAGTGGAGTGGGCCACAGCCGAGGTTGGCAGGAGGGTGGGAGGGTGACCTCCAGTTCTCCGGGCACTGTGAATCTGATCTCGATCGTTTTAAATAAAAATTACATTTCCATTGCAAAAGCACTGGAATAGTAGGGTGCGCATTAGCAAGCTGTGATTGAACCCATCTTCTCCAGGGAGGAAAAGCAGGTGCCCCAGCGAAGCAAGAGGACAAATTACCCTGCAGGGCACTTTGGTCACAAACATCAAAAACCTTAAATATTTTACATACCTTTTGACGTAGCAATTCCACTTTAAACTCTTTGTATAAGGAAGTGATCTTGATTGTACACAAGCGATTAGTACAAGGATGGCCACTGTCATTTGATGCAGATTAGCAATCAATTTTAAGCCACCTAGATTTCTAACCAGAGGGCATTTGTGCCTTCATTGAGGGTCCCATCATACTATGGAACACTATGCAGCCAGGAAGAAGGGTGTCTTGAAAGGATTTTTTTTAAAGATCTGGGATTGAACCCAGGAGTGCCTTACCACTGAGCTGCATCTCCAGCCCTTTTAATCTTTCTTATTTTGAGAAAAGATCTTGCTAAATTGCTGAGGCTGACCTTGATTTTGCCATCCTCCTGCCTCAGCCTCCCAAGTTGGTGGGATTTATAGGCATGTGCCCCTGTGAGGGGCTTCTTGGAAGGATTTTTACCACATGAAACATATACTTAATATATTATATGCTGAAATTTTTAAAAGGTAAATACCAGCAACATTTTCAATATTGGTACATTCCTCTCATATTTCTGTTTTTATCTTTCACACATGCACGCACGTACACACACACACACACACACACGCACATTCTAACAAAAAATGTTAAAGCAATATTAAACTGTGGAAAATAATGGAAAAGCAAAAAATAAAGGTAGAGAGAGCCACCTGCCAGGAAGGCGGGGGCGGGGGTGTGAAGCTGAGGGACCTGGGCCCTGTCACCTGTGTCCTGGCATCATTTTTCCCTGTAAAATGGAGATGGAGCAGAAGCACCCACGAGTGTGCACCAACACAAGCTCCTGTTCTGGAGCACCCAGTGTAACAGGAGTGCAAAGCCCCCAGCTCCCGGGGTGCTCAGCAGGTGCTAGAACCCCCCCCCCCAGCCAGCTCTGTGCTCTAAAGGTCTGAGGGCCCTTGGGACCCTGCTGGAAGGAAGGAAGGAAGCCCAGATGGCTGGTTCTAGGGGCCCCCACATCCCGGGGCCACCGGCAGGGACTCCGGCTCTGGTCCTCTGTATAAACAGCAAGGTGGGGCTGTGCCCACGGTGACGCAAGGCGGGAGCTTTACCAGGCTGCGCCTCCTAATTAGCGCTGGATTGTTCCTCGGCTGCAGACTGATCTCAATTTAATCTGGGTTTGGTGGAATCTGACCCGCCTGCAATTTTATCCACACCCTCCTGCGAGAGGCCAGAGGCACAGGCCACGCCTCCCGGCTCCCCTCGGAGCTCCGGGGCTCCAGGGTCTTCAGGAGCCCCCTGGGCTGGCCTAGGGCGCTGGAGGCCCCAGACCACAGGGGCTCTGTGCCCCCCTCAGCCCCAGCAGGGGTGGCTTCAGGCAGGCTCTGGCCTAGTCCTGAATCTGGACGTTCCAGAAGGCACCGTGGAATAACGGGGAAGTGGGGTCCTCACTAAGGTCCTCTGAGGTCCTCTGGGCTTAGCCTGCTGTTTGCTGGCCAGTGACACTGGGCGAGTCACTTCACCTGTCTGAGCCTCCATTCCCTCACCCCAAGACAGGGCTAAATGCACCTGTGTCAGGTGAGGGCCTGGGACAGGTGAGGGCCTGGGACAGGTGAGGGCCTGGGACAGGGGGCGCTGCACGGGAAACCCAGCAAGAGCTGGCTCTCAGCCCATGAGCCGTCACCCGTGCTCCCACTGCTCCGTGACAACATGGCCTCCAGGCTCAGGAGGAAAGGCACCTCAAGGCTGTCAAAGGACCAGGACGCACCGTCTTTCCTTCTGGGTCCTGCCTCCCACGCCCTGTGATGCACCCGGGTGGGTGGATTTGCACCCATCTGAAGGAGAAGCCACTTCCCCGCTTGGCTGCCCAAAGCCCACGTACCTGCCATGGAAGGGGACGCCAGGACAGCTGCTGGGGACGCTTCCAGAGCCAGTGTAGTCCCCCTGGAGGGGACGCTGGTCTCTCCCCCCCCCCTTCTGTTATTCATTTAGCACCGGATCCTGCCGCCCCCGCCTCCCCTCCCCCACTCCTTCCACAGTCACTTCCCACAAAGAAACGGGGACGGGGTTGGGGGGGCTGAAAACCAGAGCTGCAGCTCGACCCTCAGCCAGGCCAGAGCAAGGCCGCTGCGTACCTGGGGGAGGTCCTGTGACCGTGGTGGTGAAAGAGTCTCTCCCGGTCTTGGACAGGAACCCAGCTCGGGCGGAGACATTGTTCTTTAGCTTGCAGCAAGAGATGGAGGCCTGGGGGGAAATGGCAGAGTGTCCAGGGCCTGCCTTCTCCATGCCTCTGCCCTCTTGCCTACACAGTGGCAAACTTGGATTACAAAATATATTGTAACCTGACAGAGGCTGAAAAGGTCCCTCTGTGCCTTTACTGGTATCCCAGCCCAAGTGCTCTAGGTCTGACCCCAGCCTGTGTGGCCCTGTGCAAGCTGTTCAACCTCTCTGAACCTGACCTTTCTCATCTGTAAAAGGGAACAGATGATCCCTGCTCTACTTGCCTCAGAGCATCATCAGGGGAGGGGGACGGTCAACAGAAATCATCCATAGGAAAGTTTTTTAAGAAGTACGTGGTGCTAGTCGGGCATGGTGGCCATACCTGTAATCCCAGCAGCTTGGGAGGCCGAGGCAGGAGGATCCTGAGTTCAAAGCCAGCCTCAGCAACTTAGTGAGACCCTAAGTAGCTCAGTGAGACCCTGTCTCTAAATAAAATTTTAAAAAGGGAGGGGGGCTGAGGATGTGGCTCAGTGGTTAAGCATCCCTGGGTTCAATCCCCAGTACCAAAAAAAAAAAAAAGTGTAGTGCTACACACACAAACCCTTTTCATTTCATTTTCCTGCTATTTTTAATATTTTCAGGACACTTAGAGCTTCCCCATCCCCACCCTGATCCCTGGCTGCATTCCTCACTGTCCAAACAGTCCCTCTCGTAAATGTGGCTCGGAGGATCGTACGGTTCCGATTGTGATCACGTTGGCAAGCGCTCCCTGCCCTGACTTTTCTGGACCGACCAGACATTAAGAATTTTGTCTGAGGCCCACAATATACATTTGAAAGCATCCAATGTGTTCAGAACTCTCTAAACAATAGAAAAAGCAATCTAAGATCATTCTTCTGTTACCAATGAATCATAAATATTTTAAATGCCAGTTTGCAGTCGGTCTCCTGAATTCATTAGATAACAGACGCAATAAAAACCGTACCGTGAGCCCTGGGAATATTTGCTGAATGCGTGCAACCATTTGCTGGGGTGGATGGTTTGATTTTTCTAGATACTCCTCTGTCATAAATATGTTTCTCGAGAAATGCAGATGGCATTTCGATTTGGAGTTGGCCAAGGTGCAGGAATTTAGCTTTTCCCAGGGTCCTGGTGGGGAGGCCACATGCAGAGAGGGCAAACAAAGAGACCAGATGGGCAGGCTAATGACTGGAGGAAAGACAGGACCAGGTCGCCAGGGAGGCGGGAATGACAAGGCACCTGGGGAGGAGAAGAGGGGGTCCTTCCCGGCCCAGGCAGAGCCAGGCTGAGCCGTGGCTAACAGGATTACTCTTCTGCTCCGGCCACCTGACTCCCCCATTGTTCTCCTGGCCAGAAAAAAGCTTCCTGCAAACAAAACAGTTCACCCAGACAGAAAGCCACCAAAGGGGGGACATTCTTTACACCCTGTCGCAGGGCGATTTCGCCATGCGACTAGGAAAACACTCAGCAGGTTTAAGGAGAATGGCGCTGAGCATTGCCCCAGCCAGAATCCACAACGTGGAGAAGCCCAGGACGCAGCCACAAGGGACACGGGAGAGGAGGAGATTATAGCTAGCTCTCACGGTGGTGGCCTTGGGCCATGGAATTATAAGGGTCCCCCAGAGTGCTGGAACCCGTTTCATGATGCGCACGTGTTATTTTTAGAGTCCTATTAAATTACTGATGAACAAAAGCCTGTGCCGGAGATGGATCTGTTAGCAGAAAGAAGAAATTCTGACTTGGGAAGTGGCCGCTTCTAGGTGGACATTGTGCAGGGCTGGGGTTTCCCCCTTGATGTCACAGAGATTATGTCATGGAGAGGTGCAGCTGGGCCCCGGGGAGCAGGCAGAGGCTGGAGGCAGACAGGGAGACACAGGACCCTCAGCCACAAGCAGAGCCCTGCTACACCAGTCCCGGCTGCTTGTCTCCCAGGTCACCTGGTCCCCTCGGGATGGCAAAGGCACAGTGGCCACACCTTCATTACAGCTTTCTTGGACACACCTTGTCCTGGCCCTGTTAGCAACAGTCTCCTTGCTGGTGTTCAGCACCTACCCGGAACCACACCAGTCACTCGCCGTGAGCAGCTGGAGAAGCTCAGGTCGCATCACCCCACACTTCCCACCCCCTCACCACGGTCTTCCTAGGACATGCAGAACAAAGTTGAGACTCCCTACCCGGGTCTCTAGGGCAGGCTAAAAACTGACCCCGCTTTCTCCCGTCTCCTGACTCACAGTACAAGAGCCGCTGGACTCTCGTGTGGTTCCTTGTGGGCTAAGTTCTTTGCTGTCCCGGACCTTTGCACATGCTGTTCCCTCAGCTCTGGCCTCTCCTTCAATTCCTGGGTCTCAGCCTTTGAGCCATCTCTGACCAAGTCTGAAGGAATGCTACGCCGTCCCTTCTGCCCCTCATGAACTCTCTCTCAGGCTGCACGTCTGTCTCTCTCTCTCTCTCTCTCTCTCTCTCTCTCTCTCTCTCTCACGACCGGCCACACCTGCAATTCCTTGACCATTTACTGGCTCTTATCTGAGTTCCCTGCTGGAGTCTCAGCAGTGTCACCAGCCTGGCACAGTGTAGCCCAGGACTCGTGCAGAGAGGCCTGACAGGGCCACAACAGCGTGACCCTGATCATTTCCAGCTTCCCCTCGCGCCCACTGACGTGAAAACGACACCTTTGAACAACTCCCTTCCCTGCGCTGAGCCTCGGCTTCCTCTTCTGTAAGATGGGGATGACTTATTTCTTGGACTCTGTGGGTCTTAAATATGATAAATACAAAACTCTCCAATCAGCACTCAGTCGATGAAAAGCACACCACTACCCTCACTCACCTCCACCACCCTCACCTCTATCATCCTCACCTCTGCCACCATCCTCACCTCCACCATCTTCACCTCTGCCACCCTCACCTCCAACACCCTCACCTCCACCATCCTCACCTCTGCCACCCTCACCTCGGCCACCCTCACCTCCGCCACCAGCCTCACTCCCAGTTACCCAGGGGAAGACCTACAGCAGAGCTGCCCAGGACAGCAGCTGCGACCACATGTGACCACTGCCCTGGAAATGTGGCTAGTTGAACTTGAGATGTGCGCCAAGTATAAAACATACGCTGGACTGTATTTATTTGTGGCACTGGGGGTTGAACCCAGGGGCGTTTTACCACTGAGCTACATCCTCGGCCCTTTTTTATTTAGAGACAGGGTCTCACTCAGTTGTTTAGGGCCTCCCTAAGGTGCTGAGGCTGGCCGGGAACTCGGGATCCTCCTGCCTCAGCCTCCTTAGTCCCTGGAATTACAGGCTTGTGCCACCACGCCCAGCTCATACACTGGACTTTCAAGACTTAGTGTAAGAAAAGAATCTTCCTTAAGTACCTAATCAATAATTTATATATTGATTAGAAGTTGAAACGATAATGTTTCGGATCTGCTGTGTTAAGTAAAACACATGATGAACGTTATTTTCTCCTGTTCCTTCTATCTCAACGTGGCTACTGGGAAATCTTAAATGACCTAGCTGGTCTCCATTGCATTTCTGCTGGTCAGTGCTGGCCTAGAAGGCACCTGTATTGCTTTGAGCACATCATTATTGACTGAATCAGTCACAGGAGATGGGCAGGATCTTTGCAGTCAGAAAATGCATATGATTTATAAATATCACAATTGAAAATGAACTAATCTTAGACCAAAATAGTTTGAAATGAGGCACAATAAATACCATTAACACTCGGTGCGATGCCCAGCCCACACGGGGCACGGTGCTCTCACATGTGTTGTCTCATTGGTTCCTGGTACTAACCCTGTAGGGCAAGTCTAATTAGTGCCACCCTAGATGGCAGCTCTGGGGGCAGAGGGACCTGCCCAAGGCCAGCCCACCCATCTCCACGCACCATACAGTCCTTGGGGGCCAGGTGCTGAGCTAGACACCCAGCCAGGCTATCTCATTTCATATTTGTGTTAATACTATGAGGTGGACACATACACCCATTTTTTAAAAAATTTCTAGCTGTCTATGGACTGCGGGGATTTGTCTCTTTATTTTCATGTGGTGCAGAGGATCGAACCTCAGACGTACTAGGCGAGCGCTCCACCACTGAGCTACAGCCCAGCCTGACACATACACCCATTTTATAGATCATTCGACTAAGTCCTGAAAAGTTAAGGGACCTGCCCAGAGCCACCTAGAGACGGGCAGAGCCAAGGTGTGGACCCAACCTTCCTGAATGCACCGTGCCCATGGTCCATTCTGCCTCGGCATTTACAACATGGTCACAGTTGGTGGAGCACAGTGTCAAAAAAGCAAAACAAAAAACAGTCTTCTGAAATGGAAAGACAGGGGTTCACATTCCCTACAAGAATCTGAACAGTAAACGTACTGTCTGCAGGGAGAGTGCTAAGGAATGTACCCATCGCTACAGGTGAGGAAACTGTGTCCCTGAAAAGTCAGATGACAGTCAGATTACAGTCAGTGTCCCTTAGGGCAGAGGTCTTCCTGCGGCTCCATCCTGACCCCCTGCTGCTCAGGCTTCTCTAGCTGCAGGGACCTGTCTGGTCCTCAACAGATGCTGAGTGACTGGCCAGCTGCACAGAATGCCATCCCCCTGAGCCCACCCTCCCCTGCTTTAGCCCACCATTCGTCCACACGTCTGCACGCACTCAGCAGACACGTGCAACGTTCTTACGTTGTAGTGGTTTGGTGCGGGGGTTTCGGATTTGAGAACTTTCATGAAGCTTGGCAACTGGAACATGCTAGAACAGGAATTACTGAAGTCTTTCTTCGAAATAAAATCTGATGGAATAGTGTACGCATTCGCCGCAGGGTATTTAGAAATGATGGTGCCCAAGCGGACGCTCTGTGAGGAAGAAGCCAAAGGAATCAGTGTTGTCACATAATCTTGTGGCCCTGAAGGACAGATCAAAATGATGGCGCCCAGCACTGGATCTAAAAGCACCTTCTAAATGGAGACCATGGGGTAACGATGATCAATTGACCTGGGGCTTTGAGGATCTGCCCTGGGAAAATGCGAGTTTGGACCTGTTCCACATCTGTAAATTAACCCAAATTATTCATCATCTGTTTGGGACTTGGCAAAAATAATTTTGCCATAAATGCATTTCCACCCAATCCTGTTAAGGTTGACTCATGGGCGGTTGGGTAATCTATATGATGGGAAGTTTTAGACTTTCTTCCCTGGCCGAGACTTTCCCTCTGAGTAAACCTGCATCTTGTTTCTTAGGTTAAATGGTCCGAGCGAGGAACTGATTCTCAAGGAACTGATTCTCGCGTCTTCAAGGTAGCGGAGGCCAGCCTCTACCCACGCCTCCATCACTGCCTTTCCTAGAACCCTATAATATTCCTGCTGTTTCAACAGACCCAATGCCGTTCCTTTCATGGAGACATGATAAACTATTTTCAGTCGAAAAACAAACAGAATCAATGTTTGTCAAATGAACAGGGACAAAAGCCACAGAAACTCAGCGATAACATCGCTTTGCCCCGGCACAGCATGGCTAGTGTTGGAGTCTGATAAAACATTTCCCATAATTTTATGGTTAAAAGCTTGAGAACACTGCCCTGGGTTTCCCCCGGGTTGACAGGGGTCAATAAACACAAACACAGAAGTGGGGGGAGCTGAGGAAGTCGTCCGCCCTCCATCTCGGCCCACCCCACTCTGTGCTCAGTGGTGACGGTGCCCAGGCCTGGTCTAGGGACCACCAGAGGTGGGAGTGTCCTCAGCTAGGGCCTAGTCTGGTTCGAGGCCAGCTCTGCCTCCTTCTGATCTAAGAATGTGTTGAAGTTCAGGCCCCATAGCCTGGTGCATCCTTTGCATTTTGACCAATTGTTTACCAAGGACCTTGCTCTGCATTTAACCTTCATGAGAACCCCGAGGAGTGAATATCTTGCACTTTATGGGTGAGGAAATTAAATGCAGTGAAAGGTCCTTGCATTTTATGGGTGAGGAAATTGGACTTCTGCTCGCTAAGTGGTGGGACCGACAGTCTTAGCCAGGCAGCCGACCTGCACCAATCCCCCATCCTAAAAGGAGTAGGTGAAGAGGCGTGGTCCCTGACTAACTGCAAACTTATTCCATCATAGAATCTTTTTGGCTAAAAAGACATTAGTTTTTCACTTGGGGGAAAATTATTCTAAAAAATCCCCAGTAGAGGCAAAGTTTCAAAGGTGTTGTCACGGGATTAGCTTCAGAGCACAGTGTAGAGTGACTCGCTCGCCCACCCTCCACAGCCCTGGTTCACCTGCGGGGCTGTGGTCTCCCATCTGGCCACACACTGGCATTTGGGAACCTCTCTCCAGCACACACTAACTCCTCCGGTGTCACTCCTGCCGGCACACAGAGAAAGGCCTCCTGTGTCATTTGCCTTCCTAGCCAGTCCTGTGAAAAATTCTGGAACAAAGACTTGGAATCTATTAATGGGGCACTTGACACCCTGTGAACACAGAGATGACAGGTCTTCTCAAAAGGCGGCCGTCGCTGTTCCAGGTGACCAGGAAGTTTCTAAAATTTATAGACCCAGAGGTTTGGGTCAGCCTCACCCACAAGTCACACTCCTCCTGGCCACGGCCCTCTTCCTCTGGTGAGGGCTACTCTAATTCCCTCAGAGCCTTGGGATCCGGAAGTGGAGAAGGTGCTCAATGTGAGGGTCACTGCAAGAGGGGTGGACAGATGGCATTGTCTCTGGGCCGATGCGGGGACACCTGACAGATGGCATCGACACCTGGGGCCTCTGCCCAAGGATGCAGGAACTTAAGTGTTTGGAAACATGAATGCAAAGTCCCTCCACCATCCAAGGGAGGACAACTCGGTGTCTGCCTTCAAAAGAAGGGAGCCCCCAAAGGGTGTGGTTCTGAGCTTGGAAAGGCCTGAGTAGATTCCATAATCTCAGAGCTACCCGCGGGCCCCTCTCCCCCAGATGGCCCAGCCTTATCATCTGGAGGTTAATCCTAGCAGGATGTCGTTCTCCAATCCAGTCCCCGTCTTGGCACCAAGGAAGAAGGGCAGAGCTCCTCCCTGTGAAGAAGTTCTGGGAGAGAAAACCTAGGTGTTGCTGGAAGTCCTGTTCGTGACTCAGGTGGCAACAATCATAACATTTAGCCTGTTCATGATGCTTTGCAGTTTCAAAGAGCATTTCACTCATGCAACCTGCCCAGCGCCTCCAGGGAGGCTCCACTTTTATGAGACAACTAGGACACGAAGGGTGACGTGCCTGAGGTCACATCGCGCTCCACCACTGAGTCAGGATCAGTTCTTAAGTCCCCTCTCTGTGCCAGGGCATTGTAAGATGGCACTTCTTTTGCCAACTGCTTTTGAGCCTTTTTCCTGGGGTGGGGACAGAAAAATAGGTAGGGGCCTTCTGTGTGTGGACTAGTGGGGACATGTGTGTCCTTGGCCTCTTCAGTAATGGGGAGTGAACTCCCAAGGCAGTTTGCTTCTTGAATATTCAACTCTGCCAAACTTGACTTCCAATAAGAAGTGGCTACAGTCAGTGTGTCCTACATGGTCCCTGCGTGTGGTTTAAAAAGGTCAATTCTGATGTCAGGAATCACAGCTCGTCTATGCAGGAGACTAGGATCACCTCTGGAGGGACAGAGGGTACATGGGTTTTGTCCTCTCTTCTACCTCAGCTGGTCTCGCCCCAGTTTGGACCTTTCTCTCACTCTATCTATTTTTCCTGCCAACTTATAAATATTTTTAAGGCTGACAGTCCTTTTCTTAAAAATAATTATAAATTGGAACGTGGCTTAGGGGTAGCGCAAGGACCGACCCTGAGTGAAGTCCTGGGTTCCAAGGCCAGCGGAAAAAAAAAGAAAAATAGGAAATGAACATCTTCCCCAGGTCTGGTCAGGGTCATGGGCACTTCTTCATGTTTGATTCTTCTATTTAATTGTCTAGAGACCTCAACAAAGAGAAAAATCCCACACCATACAGAAAAAAAGAGGAGTAAGAAGTTGGGATCACAATTCAGGCCGCTGCCTGCTTTCTTTTTGGTTCTGTCAGATTTCTCAATAATCTGAACAACCTAATTAGAACAAGCACAGGGTCAAAACCGATCTGAGGACGAAATATGGTAAGAGTGACGTTTTCCTGTCATGCCTAAAAATCTCAGGAGGACACCTGTTTGGCCCACTTGATGACGACAGCATTGGTTTGGATGATCGGGTCTGGATGTGCCTCTGGCTTCTCTTTCCACTCTGGCAACATGTGACAATGGAAAAAGAAAATTATTTTGACACTGGGTCCAATATACCTGTGTGCAATCTGAGGAGGCATTTCCTCTCCTAATTAGAAGCAAGGCCTCTGGAGAGGAAGGACCCCGTGTCTAGGGCCTGACTCCACACCGCAGGAAGGAATGACTGACCCCCACCCCGGGGACGGCTCTCACCATGGAGGGAAAGGTGCAGGTCCCCTTCTTGGACAGTGAGACGCTGTTGAACACAGGAGACTTGTGGATGACGTTGTAGAACCCAGGACCCGGAATGTCATCCTGAAAGCCAAGAGAAGGCAGCGGCATTAGGTCGCAGCAGCTCCAGGGCTCTTTTCTGCCATCGTGGCATCTGTTGACACCAGGCCTCACTGTCACCCCACGGGACGGGCAGCAGTGCCCCTTCCGTGGGACGCAGTCCAGCTGCACCATTTCCCAACTTGCCCAGTGTCTCTCTCAGCGACCGAGCATGGGACAGGACTCCCAAGGACCACACCGAATCGTCCTCCCAAAGAATGTTGTTGGATTTTTCCATGTCATTAGAGGAATGAGGGTACAAAGGGACACCAGATGTGGCCGGTGTGCAGGTCCCAGGTATGGATTGGGTAAGGGGAGGGGGACGGCTTCACGTTGCCACACCCTGCTTGCTGGTAGCAGGCCTGCCCTGGCCCCTGGGGACTCAACCCCCAGTTCTTTGTTCTGCATGTCAATGTGGCCAGCTCACAAGGCCTTGACGCAGGCTTGCGGTTCCCTGTTTATCTGCCTCGAGCATATGTGTCTCTCGGGAACATCTTGACCTGTTCGAGCCTCCTGATAGGGGACTGAGACGTGAAGGTAACCCAAGGACACAGTTATTACTCTTCCCTCCCCACTTTTGAGTGATTTCCCGCAGCTGTTAAAAAGATATATAAGGGGAACAAATCTGGCAATAAAGCGCACACATGCTCCCTCCTGGATGAAGAACCTTGGTGTCCTGTGTATTTTTTAACCCCGCCGTCCCTCGCCGGACTCGGCTCCGTTAGCCGGACGCGGCACCTCCTGACTCAGCTTCCTCCTGGGCCCTTGAGAAGAGAAACCAGGGCGACCTGCCTCCCGTGGGAGACCGTTTCTAACCCAGATGAAAGGAGGCCAGCTCCTGGGACAGGTGCTAGATGCCACAGCAGCCAGGCGGCCACTTCTGTGGGACGGCAGTCCAGCTGCACCATTTCCCAGGCTAGTCACCAGGTGTAAGAAAACGTCATCGTTGGCCAGGCGAGAGGCTCAAATGACGAGGAGGCTTCACCGTGGCAAGCGTTTACTGAGCACCTACTTGGTGCCGGGGCTTTTCCAAGCTTGTCTGGGTTTCAGCACCACCAGTGAGGAAGGAATGCCACCCCATTCCACAGACACCCAGGCACAGGGAGGTGAATTCGCCCACAGTCCCACTGCCCCAAGTGGCAGTTCCTGCCCTCAGCGTGACGTGCCTGGCGCTGTCTCCTTTACGCCTCACCCGGCCCTGGCAGTAGATGCACTATCAGAGCCACATTAAGGCAAGTGGGGTTCAGAGGAGTGGGGCCCATGGCTACTAAGAGCTGGGCCCCAGATTTGAACCCAGGCACCAGACTTGGATTTTGCCATCTCCAGTCTCTGCCGCCCAGCTACATCCTGCCCTGACCACCTTCCTCGGGCAGAAAGCACGGAGACCACAATTCCTGATTCCTAACCCTGTGACTTTCCCCGTCTTTCCTACACAATCTCATCAGAGCATTAGTCTGGTTCCGTGGGTAACAGTTAAATCTAGTTTAACTGAGAACATGGTGAGACTGTGTGGGTTCAAATTCTGGCTCTGACATTTACTAGTCACGTGACCTGGGGTCTTCTCGTCTTTAAAATGGGGATTAAATGAGCAAGTGCCGTAAGGTATCAGGACGGTGCCCCACACCCAGGGAGCGCTCGTCGGGGGACTCTCCCCCTGCAAACAGCTCCCTAGAGAAACGCTTCCTCATCCCTGCAGCCCCCACACCTGCACCCACCACCAGGTCCTCTCAGCCCTCAGCCTGGGCGCTGGTGTCTGGGTTCGCCGGCTCCTGTCCCTGCAGTCAGCTCCCCTTCTGTCCACTGAGGACTTTCATTATCTATAAATCACCTCCCCTGCCCACCTGCCACGGGGCAAGGGTCAGAGCATTCGGCACAGAGGAAATGGTGCTGCCACCTGGCACAAGTCACCTCTTTGGGCCTTAGCTTCTCTCTCTAAATCCAAGGTGCTGGGTCTTGGATGCCACTGAGCTTCCAGAGTTCCTGAATCTAGGAAAAGCTGCAGCAGGAAGTGTGTGGCTCTTCTAGGTTTAAACTAGGGACAGTGGTAGAGCGCTTGCCTAGCATGTGGGAGGCACTAGGTTCAATCCTCAGCACCGGATAAAAATAAATACATAAAATAAAAGGTATTATATATAAATATATATATAAAGTTCTTTTAAAAAGGGACCAAAAAACCCACATCTCTAAGTCCCAGTCTGCCACCCCTGCTCAAACCTGACATATCTCTTCCCAAGAATTTTCTGAGCACTCGTGTCCCTGGGGAGCCAGGGTGGCTAGATGAAACACAAAATGTGGACGGATGCGCTGACCCACTGTGCCCAGCTCAATCAGAATTTCAGATAAACAACCAATAGCTATTTTAGTGTAAGCATATCCCATGTCGCATTTGGGGCATACTTACACTAATAAAATAGCTATCCCACACTCTAATTGAACTGAAGACCTGTATTTTTATCTGTGAAATCTGACCCTACTGGACCTCAGTCATACTTTAACTCTGCCACACTGCAAACTGGCTTGAGCCCAGGGCAAGCAGGAAGAGGACTGTCACCTCTTGGCCTGGAGGAAACAGTGCTCCCTTTTGCTCTTAATGAGTGTCCACGGAGAGGCCTCCCGGCAGCAGCAGGCTGCAGCCGGCCCGTGGCACCCGTGAGCCGAGCTGCTGAAAACAGACTTTGCCAGTGGTAATGTGAATTTGGCCAGGGTAGGGGTATTTAAACCACAGGGACTGGCAAAGGCTCCTTGCAGAGGGGACAGCGGGGTGACCTTCAGGTGACAGCCAGCTTCGGGGGATCCAGGTTTTCTCCCACAACTCCTTGGAGGGGGTGGCTCTTTGGGCGGATGATAAAAATCCAGAGCCTTTCCCTGCGGGATGACAGTTCAGGTGACTAATGTTTTGTGACAGTGGTGAGTTAAGTTGGGAGGGTGTGAACTTGGCCACCCCTTGGCTTCTTGGCTGAGACCTTCTCAGAAGCAAAACCAAACAAACAAAGAAACGAAAATGGGCGTGGGGAGCGAAAGGGGAAGAGAGTCACATTCACCAGGGCTCTGCTGACTGCTCTTGAGAGCTGCACTGAGCCCGTGCCAGATGCCAAACTATTGTCCCCATGACTGTGTCGCGGTGAGAGGCTTGTGTGAGTCATGACATGAGAAGGGGGCAGGACAGTGACAGAGCATGGAAGCCACGGTCATCATCCCCATCACTGCTCTTCACAGGGCTACAAGAGCCTTGAGGGAGTCAAGACCCTGTGGGGGGGTGGGGGGGCCAGAGGTATGCAGGGTGGATTGGCAGAGTGATTGGCAGGTGTGTCCCCATCGTCCCACCCAGGGTACCTCTGTGCAGCATTTGGTTGAAAGGCACTTTGAGAGCTCATTTGAAGATTCAGGTCCTGGATGGGCACCTCTGCATGTGCCAAGATGGACAACAAGCCATAGTCACCTGACCTCAGACTAGGCACAGAGAGGGGAGAGGAGGGGGGAGCAGGGACATGGCAGGACGTGCAGAGCTGAGAGCCAGTCACATCTTCATACAGTCTGATACTAAAATTCTGTCCAATTAGTACTTTGTATCAAATCACTGGTTTGTCAAACCAATTTCTGTCTTGGAAAATGCAGGCTCTGCAGAGCCACTGGCTAAAGACCACCCTGGGTCAGCAAGGTGATCCGCCCGGCTCTGGGCTGTTTTAGAAGCGACTAGCTGGTGTTTCTCAGATGAGCACAAGGTGCAGGGACATGGGTCGCTCTGGCTGGGGTGTGTAACAGGGGGAGGCCAGGCCTGAGGGGAGCAGCTCTGGCCTGCGGCTGATCTACTGGCAAAATTGCCTGCAAGTTCAAAGTTCCCCGGGGAAGAGCTTCTTTTGACAAAGGCCTTAGTTTCATGGTCTCAGGACAACGTGTCCATCCACCCTGATGACTTCACCCAAGGCTACAGAGCTGCCACTGAGGGGGCCGGGGATCTAGCTGAGTTTGTGCCTCCCATGTACAAGGCCCTGGGTTCAATCCCCAGCACTGCCAAAGAGAGAGAGAGAGAGAGAGAGAGAGAAAGAGAGAGAGAGAGCGCTTCCACTGAGTCTGACTGTGGCCTAAGAAGTGCAGAGAGTACAGACCAACAGGTAAGAGAGCTGGCTTCTCCCCAGGGCACACGCCCTCTCTGGGACACACGTCCCTCACCACCTGCGAACCTGAGAGGCAAGGTGTGGGGGAGGGCGGGTGGCCAGGTCTGTGGTTTTCTAACTGCTCCTGAACCCCATGAGCAACCCAGGGAGGGACGGAGGAGGCAGCAGCCCCAGCTTTGCTTTCTCTGGTTCACAGATGGGCTTTAGCACGTCCTTAGGGCCACCCAGCTTGGGAAAAGGTGCCCTCGACCTATGGTGAATTGGGAATGAAAAGGGGAGATGGGAGCAAACTTCCAGCAGGTCCCGGGGCTGTACTCGGTGACATGCAGGCCCCGCTCGGCCTGAGTGCAGAGGACCAGCCAGATGCACACAGGTAGAGAAGGTCCAGCCGCACAGATTGTCCGTGCAGACACCAAGCCCTGCCAAGGACTCCTGCCCCTAGCGGCCATCTCCTAGGGACCGTGAGCTGGCAAGGAGGCCACAGCCTTGCACAGTTGGCCTGGGGAGGAAGGCGCGCCCTCCGGAGGCAGCCATTCCCTGTGCTCCAGACACACTAGTGGGCCCCGACGGGAGGTGAGGATTCAGGCCAGGGATGAGCTCAGGCTCGGGGTGTGGACGGTTCCTGTCCTGAGGAGGGCGGGGAGGCCTTTTAACTCGCATTGCCTCACTAAATTATTGGGTGATGTTCTACAAGCTCCTTAGCTTCTCAGTGCTCTGTTGATTTTCTGTGTCTACATATGACCTGAATTCTATGTTTCAGATGAGGAAGTTGAAGCCTAGAAAAGACACACAGCTGGTGTGACAGCACCCAGTGACAGAATGGAACATGGCAGGGGGCCTGATCTGGGATCCCATGCCCTTTCCATTAACCTCCATGCTTTTAACATCAAGTTCAAATACGTAGTGTCGCGCCATATTTGAAAAGTGGGGATCAAACTTCCGAGGGCACTGACTCTGTGTTTGATGCTGCCTGTAGCTTCGGCTGGCTGCCACCCTGGCTTCTTTGGTAGAAAATGTTCTGAAAATGCTAGTGTTTTAAATGACAATTTATCAAAGTCGGGCCCCTGAGGTCTCTGGACCTGCGTCTCCAGACCCAATCACTCACATCTCGCCCTGGCCAGAGCTCTAGTTGCCAGAGCCCTTTCTAGACACATGCTGACTTCCATCAGCCAAATTTATGGCCTCGCAGGCCACAAAAGCAGGCGTGGTGCAGTGTGGAAAGCGCAAGAGGCTTTGGAGTGAGCTGGGCCTGGGCTGAGAGCTAATTCTTCCAACGCTGAGTCAGCAAATATTTATTGAACGCCTCTTCTGTGCCCAACCCTTCGTGTGTGACCTTGGGTGGGTCACTCTACCTCCCTAAGACTCAGTTTCCTCTTCCGTTAAATTAAAATAATAAACCCTCCCTGTTAGCATTGTTCTGCGGAGGAGAGGAACAGCCTAAAAGGGATTTGACACACGGCAGGGATCAATCAGTGGTGAGGCCGGGCTGCAATCACCCTGCAGAGGGACATTATGGTGTGGTGAGATTGCCACGTGGAAACCCAGATGGCAGCGGAGAAGGGCCTGGCAGCTAAGATCCAGAGAAACTAGAAAGGAGAGAAAATGCCTGAGCAAATATTTATCCTCTTTGGGGAAATCTACAAGTAATTTTAAAAAGTACCCGTGTGTGGGGGGGGTGGGGGGTGTGCACAGTATTCCTTATTGTTTGCTTCTTAAAATCCTGAAATATCTCACGTGAGCTGCCAACGCCCTCTGGCTCCTCACTCCTGCTCACGGGGGAGGAACCAGGCTGAGGAAGCCAGGGCTCTCAGCTTCACACCTCGCCCATGTTCAGATCCTAGACCTCCTGGGCAAGGTGGCAGGATGACCACATTTACAGGACAGCACAAGGTGACTGAGGCCATCGCTTCTCCAGAGGAGGGTTCTTCTCCAGGTCTTGGTTCAATGAGGGAATGAACCATGGAGTTGCCTCGGCCCCCTGCTGGTGAGAGGGGAGAAGGCCAGGCCCCAGAAACCCCAAAGTAGAAAAGAGGGTAAGGAGACACAGAAATGTGGGGAAGAGGGTGCAGAGGGAGGAGCTCAGTCATGAGCTATTGTTTAAGGAAGCTTTTTGGAAAAGGTGTGCGGGCCTCCTCACGAAGGTAATTCTAAGTTTATTAGACTCCTCCCTCATGTTATTTGAAGAAAATCGTGATTTCTTCCCATGTAATATGGACTAGAGTGAGACTTTTTTTCTTTAACTGAGTACACATGGGATTGGGGGAATTTTATATTTTTATGATCTTCAAATATACTTTTTAAAGATATGTGGTTCACTTCAATATTTTTGACACCATGGGTCCAGAAAAGGCTGCTGTAAGGTCCCAAGACAGTCTTACAGCCCCCCCAATGGCCGCAGCAGAGGAGGCTGTGACTCCTTTGACGACACTGCCCTCTGCTGTTCACAGAGAGACTCACAACATGTCTTCAGGCTAAAATCCAAAAATAACCCACCTCCAACACAGTGTCATTACCTGCTTCTGATAAAATCTCTTGGCTTGACTGTTAAATCCTTTTTTTTCTTGTTCTGGAGCTACTGGAATTTGTGATTTAAAAGGAATGGAGGGTTTTGTTGGATATGCAGCAGTAAAACCTAAACCACAAAAACAAAATAAAAATCAGCACCAAAAAAAATGAACTGACAAATACAGAAAACACAGAGGTGTACACTAAAGTTTTATTTTAAATGGAACAGAAGAGAAACTTGCCTTTTATTGGTTTATTTTTCTACTGGGGATTGGACCCAGGGGCACTTGACCACTGAGCAATATCCCCAGCCCTTTTTTTTTTTTTAATACTTTGAGACAGGGTCTTACTAAATTGCTTAGGGCCTCCCTAACTTGCTGAGGCTGGCCTCAAACTCTCAATCCTCCTACCTCAGCCTCCTGACCTACTGGGATTACAGGCGTGTGCCACCACGCCCAGTGAAACTTGCCTTTTGACAAGAGACAAACATGAAACTGAATTTTCAAAAAAAGTCTTCCCTACTTGTTTTTCTTTTCCTTTTGGTAAGTTGTTGGGGTTTCCCCCTCTCCAGTCTCACACTAATGAGATGAGGTCACATAAGCACACTGAAGCAGTCAGTCACAGGCAAAAGGAAGGAAGAAGGGAAAGAGGGGAAGGACAGGGGACAGAACCATTGCTCTCTGTCCTCCAGGGACCGGGTCGGTCACCTAGAGATCCGCAGAGAGTGGAGTGGCTCGCACTCTAGGACGCTGTGCAAGGCAGGTGGCGGATTCTGCTTTGAGCAGACGTGGGGTTCAAAAGCAGAAAGGGGGTCACTTCCAGAAAACTAGGCTTACGTTGTGGATGTCTGGGCTGGGCGTAGAAGTGCTCAAAAGATGTGTCCCCCTCCCTCGGTCTGGGAAGTTGTCCCAGTTGCTAGAACTTGACAGTGTCAATCTGCTGAACAGGTCGATTACAAACTCCAGCCTGTGAGTTCAGCACAGGGCTCACCGCTTTTGAGCCCCACCCCTCCCTCTTCCCCTTCCACCCCTTCCACTCCGGCTCCGGGAAGGCTGATGACAGGGCCCGGTGCTCCCTTCTGGGACATTCCTGAATTCAAACCATGAAAGCCCCTGCCCTCCCTCCAGCCCCACCCCTAACACAACAAAGGCCCCCTGCCAGCCGGTCTCCCTGTCCCAAAACCATTTTGGAATAGTTAAGGCCTGCTCACCCCCCACAGGAAGCCTCATGTGTGAGTGAGGGACCTTCTCACACCCTCCCGAGACCCCCTCCCCACTCATTGGTGTTGACACCCCAGCCAAAGTTTGAGTGGGGTCCATCCTGACTCTGGGCTGTTCACAGCAGTAAGCCAAAGCATCTTTTTTTTTTTTTCATTGTATCAATTTTCCTGTTTTCTTTTTTTTTTTTTTTAATATTTTTAATTTTTTATTGTGGGTTGTTGACCTCAGAATCCTCAACCTCAGGGAGAAAATACCGTGGCTGCGAAACCAGATGGCCGAGAGAAAGGAAAGGGGTGTGCGTGGACAGCAGTGGTGTGTGTTTGCATGAAAGCAATCCTGTAGGCGGGTTTCTTGGTCTCTGATTTTTTCCCCCAGTACTGGGGATTGTACCTTACCATGAGTTATATCCTCCGTCCTTTATACTTTTTTATTTTGAGACAGTGTCTCACTAAGTTGCTTAGGGTCCCTCTAAGTGGCTGAGGCTGGCCTCAAATTTGCCATCCTCTTACCCCAGCCTCCCAAGTTATTAGGATTACGGGCATGCTCCACAGCACCTGGCTGTCTTTGAGTTTTTGAAAAAGCCAAACTCTTTTCCAGGGAGGAAAACCCAATGCTAATAGAAGCCTCTCTGGGGTACTAGTAGGAACCAGCCTTACAGATGAGGAAACTGAGATCAGAGGGGTTAAGTTACTCACCCAAATCACACAGCCGTAACTAGAACAGCTGGGATTTGAACATGATTTGTCTCATGATCACAGGCTCTTAATTACTACACTGTGCTTCCCCCTCCTGAGCCAGGCCCATGGTAAGCCCTCAATAAATGAATGATGAAATAATGGAGACAGGGACACTCTAGCCTCATTTGCCTGGGCTGAGCATGGAGCACGTAGAAAAAGCTGAAAGTGCGGAGAGAGCAGTGCACGTTCCCTCTTTTCCTCCCTTTGCCACTGCTCCTCATTTACGTAGGTGATGGCGACGCACCCTTTGCCTTAAGGATGCGCTCCAGCAAGTCAAAGAGCAGAGCAGCTGCAAGACTTTGGTCTCTAAAAGCCTAAGTTTGTAAACTAACAAAGGGTTTATAGAGGAGGCAGTACAGACAGGGGGTTAGAAGAGGGTACAAGGAGGCCATTCTCCCAGGAGACGGAAAGGTGACTGAGATGGAGGCTCTGGCTACAGAGATGGCAGAGCCCCAGCCGCCCTCTTGATGAGAGAACACGGTGAAACAGGACCTGAAAAAACCCTCTGGGGGACTGAAACTCCGTCTCCAGCCAAAATGGGGCTGGAATTGCCTTCCTAGTCAGAAAGAAAAAAAAAATTAATGGGTGAAATATACGAAACAATCAAGTCACTGAAACTGGCCAAAGAAGAATGGGATCTCTGAGAAGGGCAATCAATGTGTGCTGCTTCGCCGGGCCAAAAAAATTCTAAAGTATACGAAAACGGAAAGAATGGATCACCAGCAAACTGGACCTATAGGAAACACTGAAGCAGGTCCTTCCCGCAGAAGAAAAATGATACCAATGGGAAACTGGATCTACATAGAGGAATGAAGAGTCTGGAAATAGTGAATATTTGGGTATATGTAAAATATAAAATTATGAGTATCAATTGATCGTTTTAAATATAAATATAAAACGTGAATCGGTTTAAAAACAATTGGAATGTTTAAAGCAAAAATAATAACAAAGTTGTGTGGGGTTTATAATATCTATGTGTAGAAGTAGAATGTTTGATGATAACAACGCAAAGGCCACAAAGAGAAAAATTTAAATATATTGCTTTAAGGCTCTTCTCCGTGTGAAGTGTGAGGACATCACTTCATGGTTGGTTGTGATAAGTTAAAGATGTTTTCTATAAAGTCTAAAGAAGAGATCAATGACTTTTTCTATCAAGGGCTCGATAGTAATTATTTTAGGCTTGGCCAACTGCATCGTCTTCGCTGCAACCATCCAACTATGCCATTCCAGAGTAAAAGCAGCCACAGATAATACATAAGTAAATAGGAATAGGTGTGTTCCAACAAAATTTTGTTTATAAAAACAGGCAGCAGGTCAGATTTGACCCAAAGGCCACATTTTGCCAAACTTTGCTCTATAGCAACCGTGAGGAAAATACTACAAAGAGTTATTCCCAATAACAAAAGAGATAAAGTAGAAGCATAAGAACAATATAAAAGACAAAAAAAAAAAGAAGAAAGAATAAACAAGCCAGATAAAAAGCAATTTACAAAGCAACAGACTTAAACAACATAGGAATAAATCACATTAAATATATGCAGTCTAAAATATCAGAAAAAAGACACAGATGGTCAGGTTAAGTAGGAAAGAAAGACCCAACTCTTGGCTGCCTGTAAGAAACAAACTTTAACTATAAACCCAGAAATCAGTTAAAAGCAAAAGAATGGGGGCTTTCGGTGAGAACTTACACTGAGTTTTAGGAATCAAAGAAGACAAGATCTCTTACACAGCTAAAATTTGAGGACTGTGATTCTTAACAGATACACGGAAATAACAAGTCTGCCTTTTTGTTGTTGTTGAGGACCTTCTTCCCAGTCATCACCATTAGGGCAGCAGGAGCTAAGGCAATCCTTCAGGGTGGCTGGTGGACACAACCCAGGATTTGCTATATCCCCACCCAGTGTGCTCTCATGTACTGTCAAGAGCCCTCTTCTCCTGGCACAGACGGGTTATTGAAATTGACTGGACCTTTCTGTATCTTGTTGGTGTGTCTGGAAGGTCTACCAAGGCGTTCGTCCTTCTGTGCAAAGTTGTCCATGTTAGCAAAGTTCTGTGATGCATTCCATTTGTTTGTGGAAAACCTCTGCTAACTCTTCTTCTAAGCACCTAGAACTGCAAAATGCAACATTTGTAGGGACCATTTCACACTGGTATTATCACAGTGGGGTTCTGTTCTATCTACAGGCTGCACTGAGAAATCTTGTTGGGTAGAGGCTGAGCTTCACCAAGTTCTGTGACCCCCAAGTCCCCCGCACTTTGTGTGGTCTTCAGTAGGAGATCTGCGAGAGCTCACTGATGATGTTGCTGACAGAGCTACTTAAAGCTCTGAATTTTATTTTCATCTTACAAATTGAGCTTTACTGGGGTATAACTGATGTACAATAAAAATTCATCAGTGTTGACCCTATCTCAAAATAAAAATTAAAAGGACTGGGTGTGCAGCTCAGTGGCAGAGTACCCCTGGGTTCAATCCCTAATGATACCACCATGATAAGGATATTAAATTTACCTTCATCCCAAGCAAGTTCCCAAGTCCTTCTGCAGTCAGTACCTGCCCCACCTGATAGAAATGCTTTTGGTCATTAAGTACTGTCATGTCTGTCTTTTTTTTCACTTAGAATGACACCTTTGGAAATCTTCCAAACTGTTGCATGTATCATTATTTGTTTCCATTGCTCCAAATCCTCACCAACATTTCCTTCCTCAGTGTTTTTGTTTGTTTGTTGCAGTGCTGGGGATCTAACCTTTTTTTTTTTTTTTTTGGTATTGGGGGTTGAACCCAGGGGTGCTTTACCATTGAGCCACATCCTCAGCCCTTTTTATTTTTCATTTTGAGACAGGAGCTCGATAATTGACCAGGCTGACCTTGAACTTAGGATCCTCCTGCCTTGGCCTCCTGAGTCAATGGAATCATAGGTGTGCCCCACTATGCCTTGCTTAGGTTTAGGTCTTTTTAAAATTCTCAGTGATATTTTGTAGTTAGTGTACAGATACAGCACATATTTTGTTAAATTGAATCTTAGAGGTAAATCATATTTTTGTCATGAAAATGGAATTTTAAAAAATTTCAATTTCCAATTGTTTATTGATAATACATAGAAATAAAAGTAGTTCTATGGGCTGAGGTTGTGGCTCAGTGGTAGAGTACTCACCTAGCATGTTGGAAGCCCTGGATTTGATCCTCAGTACCACACAAAAATGAATAAATAAAATAAAGGTATATGTCCAACTACGACTGAAAAAAATAGTCCTACATATATTATGAATCTCACATTTTTTATGTAACCACTCAATTATCTTTTAAAGAGATTAAAATAAGAATACATGTATTTGATGTTTACCATTTTGGGTGCTTTTTAATCCTGTGTAAATCCGAGATTCTGTCTGGCACCATTGTGCTTCTATCTACAGAACTTCTAGTAGCATTTTTTGCAAAGCAGATCTTCTGATAACACACTTTCTAGGTTTTTGTTTGTTTGAAACGGTCATCATTTTCTTTCATTTTTTTGAGAGTTATTTTCACTGGCCCATTGGATTCATCAGGTTTTCCCCCTACTATCAACTCTCCCTAGCACTTTAAAATATATTCATCCATTATTTTCCAACTTGCATAATTTTTTATGAGAAGTCTATTATAATTCTTCTCCTCTGTAAGTAATATGTCTTTTTAAAAAATATATTTGGGGCTGGGGATGTGGCTCAAGTGGTAGCGCGCTCGCCTGGCATGCGTGCGGCCCGGGTTCGATCCTCAGCACCACATACAAACAAAGATGTTGTGTCTGCCAAGAACTAAAAAATAAATATTAAAAAATTAAAAAAAAAAAACCAATTAAAGACTTCAATTAAAAAATAAATAAATAAAAATTAAAAAATAAAATAAAAAATATATTTGGTTAATTTAGTTGTAGGTCGACACAATACCTTTTTTTTTTTTTTTAATTTACATGTGGTGCTGAGGATTGAACCAGGGCCTCACACGTGCTAGGCAAGTGCTCTTCGGCTGAGCCACAACCCCCGGCCCATTAATATGTCTTTTTATTTACCTATTTTTAATCTTTTGTTTATCACTTTTATACAGCAATTTGATGTTTTCCAATTTTTTATTGTGTTAAAATACACACAGCATAAAAATTAACCATATTAACCATTTCCATATCTTTGAGATTTTAAAAAAATTTCAAGTGATTATTATTTTAATTGGAAACAATATCTTAACCATTTCTAAGTATACAGTTCAGTGGAATTTGGAATTCAATTCATAATATTGTGCAACCATCACCACCATGTAGCTCTATAAATCTTTCATCTTGCAGAAGTGAAACTCTCCTTGGTGTTTAATACAAGATGGTACTTCCTTCATATTCCCCACTCCCAGGCTGCCACCGTTCTACTTTCTATGATTTTAATTACTCTAATTACCCCTCGGCCATTTGATTTAATGGCATAATTTTCTTTAATGCTTTTAAATGTTTGGGCTCCACTGAACTTCCTGAATCTATACACTTATAGTTTTCATCAAATTTGGAAAACTTTCAGCCACTGGTTGTTTCTGTTTTGTTTTGTTTTTTCATTTTTATTTTTACTTTTTTAATCTTTTATTTTTCAGTGACTGTTTTCTCTTTTTTTCTGCTTTCTCTCTCCTTTCCTATACTGTTATGTCCTCAGCCCCCCCCACACACCTCTCTCTCACCTTCCATAGTGTCTAAGCTTCTGCATATGCTATCAATTGAACTTTTATTTTGTTTTAAAAACAATTTTTTAAGTTAAAAAAAAAGCCTCTTCCATTCCTAGCCTCATCATGTTCCTGTTTTCCTTTACGTCCTTCAGCATATTTGTAAGATTTATAATAGTTGCTTTAAGGTCCTTTTCTGCTAGTTCTAGAATCTCTGCCATTTCTGGGACTATTTTATTGATTGGTTATTCCCCAGCATGTGGGTCATATTTCTCCATGTCTTCTCATGGCGATTTTGTATGGGGACTAGATATTGTGAATTACATTGCTGAGTGATGCCCTGTGATGTATTCTTGAAAAGAATGTTGTACTCCCCCGCCTCTGGCGTACTTCTCAGTAACTTATAGATGATCCTTCCAGGATTTCAAACTCTGAAAGGTGCAGAGCACCTTTTTTTCTGGGAACTACTAGGGCATGCGCTTCTGTGACTCTCCCCAGCCCCTCTCTAATCCAATGCCTCTCCATTCTGGTTCATGGGAACATGAAATGTTACCGTTCTGAGTAGCCCCAGAAAGTGCTCAGCCTGCTGCCCTCTGCCCCAGTCTTAGTTTCTTTTCATGCATGAGCAGAGTATTACTCAGCCGAAGACTTGGGGAGACCCCTCTTTAGATTTCTGAACTTTTTTTGTCTGCAGCTCCCCACCTCTGGTATTCTAGCTTGTAAATTCTGGATTCTTTAGCCTCCCTGAAACTCTGATCTCTAACTCCTTCTGTTAGTCAGCTTTCTGTCACGGTGACAAAATACCTCAGATAATCAACTTAAAAGGAGGAAAAGCTTATTTGGAGTTACAGTTTCAGAGGTTTCAATCCGTAGCTGCTTGGCCCTTCACTCTGGGCCTGTGGCAGCACCTTACTCCATGGTGGGAACACATGGCAGAGGAGGCCTATTCACTCATGGCAGATGGGAAACAGGAAGGGACCAGGGGCCCAATATCCTCTTCAAGAGCACACCCCCAGCTGTTGAGAGCCACAGCAGAAGGGGCCCCAGCAAACTTCCAGCAGCCAGCAAACTTCCAGCTGCCGGCTGATGATTGGCTCACAGCAGCCCCAGCAACATCTAGCTGATTGGCTCCTCTGCGCTGATGCTCATTGGGCTGTTTCCCTGCCCTTTCAGACCACGGAGCTGCTCATTGGGGGACTTTTTTGGCTCCGCCCACATGACCCAGCCAATCGGCCTCAAGAGCAGGAGGATTGTGGGAGGTGGAGAGAGGCTTGTTGGAGAGAGAGGCTTGTGGGAAGCCGGTGGTGGCAGTTGGGGCTCTGAGGGTTTTTCCTGAGAGGCTGTTTTGTTTGGCGTGTGTGGTTCTAAAAATAAACTTAGTTTCTTTTGACAAGTGGCTCCTGATTGTGCCCAGCCAGACTGCGGCACCTAGCGACCAACTCCTTCATTAGGCCACTGCTCCTAGAGGTTCTGCTACCTTCCGATAGTGCCGGTCTGGGAACAAAGCCTTCAACACATGGGCCTTTGGGGTGCATTCAAGATCCAAACTGTAGCACCCCTCAACTCAGAAATCCAGAATTTCTTTGTATCACTCCCTCCACCCTTATAATGTGGCCTGGAAACTGTCTGCAGTCTTAGTGGGGACGACTGTAGGGCTCATTTTGCTTTTCTAGCCTCAGGAATTGCTGTGTGGCACTGCCTGTTCTCTGACATCTAAAAAGAGTTTACACATTGGTCTATTTTTTAGTTGTGATCAGCACAGACAGTCTAATTTCCAGGGTTCATTTTTTCATGAGTGGACTTGGGGTTAATCTTGCCCACTCCCCGGTCCCGAACTTATACCATTTGTAAATACTAATGAATGAAGGATTAAATAAATAATTTTATGCTAAGCTAAACCCCCTCCCCCAGGTATCTGTTCCTTACTTTATTCTGTCACCTTCAGCCACATTTCTCAACCTTCATTGGTTGGTAATCTATACTAAGAATTTAATATTTAATTGAATTACTTGGTATTACCCTCCAAGAAATTAAGAGATTCAAAATAACAGAAAAAAAATCAATAATGATCACAGCACAATCGCCACTCCATTGTAACAATATCTTTAACGGTCTAGAAAAACAACCCCGTTCACAAACCCTTCAATGCTGATTGTTTCAATAAGAACCATCCTCTTCCCTAACTTCAATAAGACTGTTACTAAAAAAAAATGCATCAGTATTCTAGAATTATGGGTGATTAAAATTATTCTCTTATTGGGGCTAGGGTTGTGGCTCAGTGGTAGAGTGTGCGACTAACGTGGGTGAGGCACTGGGTTTGATCCTCAGCACTACATAAAAATAAATAAATAAAAATAAAGGCATTGTGTCCACCTACAATTAAAAAATATTTTTTAAAATTATTCTCTTATTATAATAATAATGCATCTAAATTATCAAAATGTTGCAAAATTGTTAGAAATTACGGAAATGTTCAAAACAATCGCTATCCCTGTCACCCAACGACAGCACTGCTACCTCCCAGCCCTCCCCAACCTACCTGGGAAGTCGAGAGGGGAGTTGGTGCAACCCAGGTGTGGACGGAGCACTGCTCAGGGGTGCCTCACTGGGGTACTTGTTTGTACAACTGTACATGACAGGTTGTCACGGGCCTAGAATCTGAGAAAGAGCAGTGAAGATATACCTTCCTCCTGACCAACTCATAGATTTAAGCAATTCCCAGGCGCAGCAGTCAAGGGTATCCAGTCCTGCGTTCAGGGTTCTAGTCCTGCCACTAAATAGGTCTAGTTTTCTGGGCTCATTTCTTCCTTCCTAAACTGGAAAGGATGAGAGCACATTCCTCTCAGGACACTTGTGAGGATTAGCATGATGATTCACTGAAGCAGTTGATGCAGCCCGACCTCAGGAGGCTCTTCTAACGTTAGGATTTGATATAAACAGAGACTTTGTACTAACAGCTTCAAATAATAGCTATCATTTATTGAGCACTTATGGCCCCCTGTACAGAGACTTCACACAATCCTTACAGTAATCAAGTGAGGTGTCACCACTGTTTTACACACAAGAGGGCTGAAGTTTAGAGGGAAGCTTTTGGTGACTTGTCCAAGATCCTACGAGGAGTAAGGTGGAATCAGGCTTCAAACCCATGAAGCCTGACCTCTGCTCACAATTGACCTCCAGGGAAATGTCTAAGGTGGCACACACTAAATGTTAACATGCAAAGTTGGACATTTACTACACTTGAGTGACCATGAGAAAAGCTAGATGTTGCATACAGTTCCAAAATACAAAGCAAACATTTGAAACTGTTTTGAATTTTCACAGAATGCTAAGGTTCTTCAGAATGCAGTTTGAAAATTCAATGAGGCATCACTGTTGAGCAGTTCTAATTGCTAGAAAGTTCCTTCCTATATCAAAGTGAATTCCCTCCCCCCCGCCTTTAGCCCACCTGACTTCTAACCTTGGAACCACTCAGAATAAAAATCTTATTTCTCTTCTTCATTGGTGATTTTTCAAAATTTAGGTTTGTGAAATTTTTATGTGTATGTGTGTGCTCTGGGTTATAATGTAAAGTAAGTGCCTTTCTTATTGTGAGTCACAGTGAGATACTCTATATGACTATACTTCAAGAATTTGAAAGCAGTTATTAAGACTAAAGACTAACCCTCTTCCCCCAGGGACGTCTTGGCTTCTGTAATATCTCCCTTGTGGCATGGAGACTACCTGTTCTCACTCTATGGACAACGTTCCTGTCATTAAAATCATCTAGGCTTCTGCTCAAACCTTCTTAGGAATGTCTTCCCTGACCACCCTTTCTTAAGAAGCACCAGCCCATCTGTCTCCAGACCCTTACTCTACTTTATTTCTTTGAAAGCACTTTTCACTACCCAATCTTATTTTGTATATCATTAATTCATTTGTTTATGATCTTCCCAGAACTAGATTCTGTATTTAACTCACATAATTATAACAATAGGCATGCTCTCATTCTACCATCTCTTTTTACAAAAATGTTATTATATAGCTAATTTATGCATTTATACTATAGTATTTTACACATATTACCATAGAGGGTATATCAATATGTACTAAGTATATATTGGCATATCAATATATCATATGTATATAGATAGGTATGTACATTGGTATATCAAGATATATTAGTACATATACTAAGACAGCTATACTGTTACTTTTTGTGGAATTTTATGGAATTTGCCTAAGTAGTTTTGACTACAGTTGATTTTTAACGATTTAGTGATAGGCTATCAAACATCTTGGGAGCATTTTACATTTTTCAAAGCACTCTCAGACTAATAACCCCCTTAGGTATGCTTTTTAGACTGAGAAAGTGTGTCAGAGGGCTGGAAGGCACTCTAGCGGCCGACTAGTGACCATTAGACTGCAGTGTCACCCTTCCGTCTTACATACGGGTAAATCAAGTCCCCAAATAGGAAAGGCATTTGCTGAGGGGCAGCCGATGGTGTGGGTGAACCGGGGGTTAGCGCTCAGCAACCTGCGGCTCTCCTACCACCCGGCACCGGACCCCCCAAACGTTTGTGCACTTGCAAAGGCTGAGGCAAAGGGGTCGGGCGTCCACGCCGCTCACAGGAGCTGGGAGGAGAAGGCGAGCCGCGGGCGGGGACATTGAGGGCACACCTCCGGGAAGGGGCACCGGGATTCCGTACGCACCCGGGGCTGCGGATCTCAGGGGGCGTCCCATGGGCTGCGCCGTGTGCTCCTCCTCAGGACCTCAGGGACCCGCCCCTAACTGGAACCGCCTCCTACCTGTAGGTCAGGGGTATTGAATCTGGACCGCCCAGCCTCCCAGTCGCTATGGCAACCACAGGACTAACATTCGGAGTATCGCCCGCTACGTCCAGCCAATGGTGTCTCCCGTTTCTTGGCCGTGGAAAGTTAATGACCAATCGTCAGAAGCGTTTCAAAATCCGCAGGGAAGCTGCCAGAATTTTAGGGTTCGGGTTAATTATTCGCAAGAGCTGTGGGGGAACTAATTCAGTTTCATCCAGGCGAGTCTTCAGAAATCTTGGGATAGACCAAAAGCCTTAGAATTTGCTCACTCAAAGCTCCCACTTCCAGGAATAAAGCTGAGAATTCACCTCCTTCTAAGCCCTGTTTATGATGCTAGCAAACCACAGAATGTGGGTACGGGGAACTATACCGGGGCGGCCATTTAATAGTCCAAGAGCCCCCCTGCTTCAGAATGGTCACGGTGACCTTGTCACTTCCCTGCTTATTCCGTGGTTCTCTTTAAATGTAGGATGAAATCCGAACAGATTAGAAGCTGTCCTTGGCGCGTTACTCGGATCTCAGCTCCTAGCACCAGCCCCGCCGGCCTTTGGGTGGCTCCTGCCGCATCGCTCTCCCCGCCCTCTCGAGTGTTCTCTCGGAGCTCTCCCTGCTCCGGGATCTGAACCCAGAACTGTTCTTTCTCCTCGTTGAGGTGTCTCCCAAATGTCACTTCTTCGTCTGTAAAATGGGCGTGAGGTCAGTGTCCCTCTCAGAGTTGCTGTGAGGATCTGAACCAAAAAAGCGTGCGCGTGAAAATGCGTGTGCGATGGAGAGCGTTTTGACATCTGCAAAGCTCCACAGAGATGGCATTAGTACAGCTCAACACGGGGGAAAGGGCAGTCGGGTGGAAGGCTCGCGGCCGCCCTTCGGTATTGCTAAGCTGCAGATGTGCTGGGAAGCGCGATGTGGGGCCCAGACAACAGGTGGCACCGGAGGGCAGGACAGGAGAGGTACGTCTGGCTCCCAGTATACTCGAGGACTTGGAGGGGAGCTAGGTCTGGAAGGACGTTTAGGCTTTGGGGACGTGGAATACGGGAATAGCAAAGCCCGGAGGTGGGCGTGAGAATAAGAAGGGAGGACACCTGTCGGGCAGGTGGAGGTGAGCAATCTCCTGAGCTCTCCTGCACTGCCAGAGGGCGGGGAGGAAGGTTGCTCCAACGTTCTTCCTCCGTCCACTAGAGGGGACCCCACCAGGTGAGCGCCCAGCTGGGTCCCCAGGTCTCTCTCCTACGCTTCAAGCAAGCTTAGCGCCGCAGCCAATGGCCGGAGGATGTCCCGCCCATCCCCTCCGCACCACCACTCGCCTGCGTCAAGTCCTCGCCAGCTTCTGACTGACAGGATGCCAGACAAATCAGATTGCGATATTTGAAAGCAAAACACTGCAGCACCCGGCAGCTCCGAGTTGGGAAGGAATTAAGGAGGCTGTGCCTCCGGGTTGTACCAAGAGCCCCAGTCATTTCTCAGAACCCTCGGCCAGGTGGACCTTCGAGCGAACGCCGCCGGTGAGTCACGATTAAGACTGGGAAGAAGGGGACTTGAATTCTGCCTTCGTTTTTCCGGAAAAGCAACGCATTTGTCATCAGCTAATGTCCCTTATCATAAATACCCTCCCTCCTTGCGGCCGCCTGCCTTGTCGGTTTGGGTCCTGTTGCCTCCGGTTTTTTTTTTTTTTTCTTTCCCTTCCCATTTTCATCGAAGATGAGAGGAGAGTGGGCACGGGCTTGCCTTAGTGACGGTGATGCTGGGCTTCCAGGAAGCGAAACGCAGTAACTTTGCCACCGTGACTCTTGTGCATGCATCCTGGAAATAGCAGTCGGAGTTAGCAGGTGGGATGAGGGGAGGCATTCTCAGTCTTCGCCGCCCGCCGGCTGCTGGAACCCAGGTGTGGAGTAGTATCCAGGTCCGTGGGAGGGGACTGAAGCGTGGAGCCCTTTCATGAGCCAAAGCCCAGGAAAGGGAAAGCTTGGCACGTAATTGACACTCGCCAGCCAGAAGCTGAATCGTCAGGTGGTGGGAAAGAGCATGTTTTATTTATGTTTTCATTTAGATCCAAATTCTAATACAAACCCTGCCTTAGCGGGCACAAGCCAGGGTTCTTCCCTCTTAAGAACCTGCTCTTGAGACTGCTGAAATAATTCATTGAGATCAGAGGTGTGTGTGTGGGGGGGTGAAGTGGAAGCAAGCACCTAGCAAGTTCTGTATTTCTTGGGTCAATGACCGTGTGCTCTAACCGTGGGGTGCCTGGCAACACAGCATTGGCTGCTTGCCTCTTGGACATATGTTAGTCCTGGAAAAGTACTTTGAAATCAGGAAAAGAGAGCCACCAGGCAAAGAATGGGTGCCTTATAAGGGAGTACAGCTTGCAAAGAGTTCCACAGAGACTTTCAGCCCAAACGCCTTCCCAGCTGAGCAAGATGCTTACCCAGCTTAGGAGACCCTTCTGTGTTTGCAGGAGATGCCTCAGAGGCCAGGGGGTTTCTGAGGCAGAGGGAACGGGAAGCTGCTTTTTAAAAGCCAGTTAAAACCACTACAACCAAAAGCAATACTAGAAAACCAGCTGGCCTAAAGGAGGTTAGGAGGCCTGGATGCCTGCCACCCCCTTCACAGGTCCCCAAGGCCGGTGTGCTTTCTCTGACATCCTGTGGGTGGGGCTGGGCATGTCTGTTTGTTGTGCTCTGGAGCTGTGGCTGATTAGGGTGGGTCAGGCGTTCTTGACTTTGAAGTGACCACAGCACAGCAGCTGCTTAGCAGGTGTGTGTAGGAGTCATTCCCAGACTCTGGACTAGATCTCAGGAGGGAGCAGCCAAACAGGGGTTTCTGCAAGCCTTCCTGGAATCCCAGATCCAGTGCCCCTTCAAGTCCAGATTGGATGCTTCCCAGGGCCTCTCGGGGGCAGAAAGATCCCTACACCACTCTTCCTAAGACTCATGTTATATTAAAAAATGCCAAGGCAAGGATATAGAACTATAACACAATAATGCCTTTCATACACACATAAAAGTCTAGTGAAGAATAATTATGCTTTCCCCATAATTTTGCAAGTCTGGTTATGGGATGTGAGTTATGGCATTACCTGGGGAGTGCATGTCTGTGAATTCTGCCTCAACTGGAGGCATCAGCAGCAGTTCAATTAGGAGGCCCTTTGACAAAGTGAGACTCAGGCCAAATGGCCCTCATGGCTGCCATGGCATGAAGGCCACATCTGGTGTCTCCTGGGTGCTGGACTTGGTAGTCTCCCTATTTCTTAGGCATGTGCTGTTCACAATAGGAACCAGAATTCCTGGACATAGGGTGGGATGGCAGAAGGAACTAGAAGCTATGGGATAGACAGTTTTCTAAAGCCTGGGGGCCTGGCAGAGACGGTGTCTGTTTAACAGACAGTGAGCCCTTAATAACTGTCTCATGGATGGTTACGGGAGAGAACAGGAAGAATATGCATGAGGAAATTAAATGATCAAACTGGTGAGAATAAAATTAAAACTAGTAGCAGCTGACATTGATTAACTGTTTACTGGGCATGCGTTTTACAAGCCTTATTGCAACAAATCCTCACAATAATAAATCCTAACCCATGGGTTAGGAACATTAGTTTCCATCTGTTATAGCTCAGGAAGCTGCCTAAAGAGTTAAATCACCCGGCCAAGGTAAAACATGGCAGATCAAAGGCAATTTAAAATATTTTTATGTTAAATATCCAAAATCACATGAATTTTGTTTGTTTGGAGTTTTTCTTGTGCATATGTTGGGTTTTATATTTTTTATTTCCCTACACTGTGGTAGGGTTTCGGCCGCAGTCCTCGGAACACTAGCATATTTTCTCTTTCTTTTCTGTTTGGTAGAAAAGTTTGAGAAGTGCTGTTAATACCAGTCCAATGAAGTGAACAGGGATGGTCGTCACTGGGGATCCTACTTCTGTCCTTAAGAGCCTATGGAATAAAGGAGGGTTTAAATTTAGGGTATGATAGGAGGAAGCAAGAAGAGTAGGAGAGGGAAGAATTGCCCAAGGACCCAGGAGAAAACTTTTGGGGTGGATGAGCAATGTCAGTCTTCAGGGGGCCAAAGGTATGATACAGTGTCTCAAATGGCCCTGCCTCTCGTGGCCAGTGTGGTCCTGACGCTGCTCTCAGGGAGCAAGGCGGGGACTGTGTTTCGCTCTGCATGCATTTTTAATGTCCCTCTCCACCACTCTAGAGCACAGCACCGTCGTTGTCTGCTTGGGAGAGACAGAAATTGGCTCTCCACTCCGGGAAGCCAAAGAGAAAGCTATAGATCAGCCAGAAGAGCCTCGAGTGCTGTTTGGCGGAGGAGGAGATGGCAGCCGGGAGGAGGTGAGCATCACGGGGAGGATGGCGTAGCGGCACTCCAGGTCCAGGCCGGGCCCTGAGGATGAGCCACTAGAGCGCCATGGACCGAGCCCAGCGCGCAGGACTGCAGCTGCAGCAGCTCCCGCCCACCAGCAGCGCCGCCTCCGGAGGCGAGGTTTCCTTCTCTTACAAGGCAAGGACTTTTCTCTTGGTTTGGGAATTTTGCATTTTTCAAACCAGAAAACAACACAGCGCGGCTTTGACTGGCAGATGTATCCAGGGTGCACGTGCCTGTGGCAGGCAGAAACAGACGGCCCCCACCTATGCAGGGCCACAGGAACCGAGAGAAAGGAAATGCTCATTAAAACCCATAAAAATAGGGAGGTCGAGACACAGCTTAGAAGCAGAGGGGAAGGCAGTGCATTCCTACTTAGAAGATTGGATGCTTTAAAGAATCACGTATTCCAGTAGTTGCAGGCAATCGGTGTTCATGATTTATCTCCTTCGTGTCTTTTTTCTGGTATTATAGTTTCAGGGCCATGTTGTACATGAGGTTTTGGATCTTGGTTGTTTCACTTAATCTAACTTGTAGAATATTTCCCCAGAGCCCTGAGAGTGAGCCAACGCGTGCTTTTTGAATGATTGCCCAATAATCTGTTGAGCTGTTGTAGAACACACTCCCATTGTTGGATATGCAGGTCATTTCTAATCTGGGGTGACTGCAAACGGCCAACATCACAGAATGTAAATCTTTGTGTCCATCTCTGATTTTTTTTCTTATTTTTTAAAAATTCTAATTAGTTATACATGACAGCAGAATGCATTTTGACATATTATACACAAATGGAGCACAACTTCTCGTTCCTCTGGCTATACATGGTGCAGAGTCACTCCAGTAGTTTAATCATACATTTATATAGTGTAATAATAATGTCTCTCTCCTTCTACCGTCCTTCCCATCCCCCAAAGCCCCAACCTTCCCCTCACTCCCTTCTACACAAACCAAAGTTCCTTCCTTCTTCCTTATCCCCCCACCCCACTATGGATCAGCATCTGCTTATCAGAGAAAACATTCAGCTTTTGTTTTTGGGGGGATTGGCTTATTTCACTTAGCATGACATTCTCTAGTTCCTTCCATTTACCAGCAGAAGCCATAATTTCTTCTTTATGGCCGAGTAATATTCCATTGTGTATATGTACCACATTTTCTTCACCCATCCATCTGTTGAAGGGCATTTAGGTTGGTTCCATAGTTTAACTATTGTGAATCGAGCTGCTATAAACATTGATATGGCTGCGTCACTGTAGTATGCTGATTTTAAATTTTGGGGGTATAAACTGAGGCGTGGGATAGCTGGGTCAAATGGTGGTTTCATTTCAGGTTTTCTCATTATTTTCTTATATCCACATAGGTACAATTATTAGGTCAAAGGGAATGAGCCTTTTTAAAATTAAGGGGTTTCTAATGTCAAGTGTCCACATTTCTCAATACCTGTGAGTACAGCATCTTGGATTTTAGGTTTTATTTTTTTTTCCTGGATCAATTGGAGACTGATAATACCCTAGAGCCAGTGAAGAACTTAGACCCCCTCCTTTTATGGACTGGGAAACTGAGGCCGAGAGATGAGAAGTGACATACTGAAGATCACATAGCAAGTTCAGAAGCAGAACTAGAATACTATTACTTCTAGATCACGACAACTAATGTTTATTGAGCTTTGTGCTCTGCCCAGGTACCTGCTAGTTCTCACATGCATTTTCTCAGATAATCTTCACAATAAATAACACTGAATGCAGCCACAGTTTTCCCCATCTGTAAGATGGGCTAATAGTAGTTCTGTCTCCTGGCGGTTGTGGGGATGAAGTGAATTCTCCAGTTGAAGCACTCGGAGCAGTCACTTGTGCACAGTGACCAGGGTTTGCCACGTACTTGCTGT